TGTATAACATATATAAATAATTTATTTTCTTAGAATCAGTTTTTTTTTTTTCCTGGTGTGATCTCGTTGCTCATCTTCTGTCATTAATGTATCTTTAATATATGTATATATTTTGTATGCTTTAGCTGTTTGTGTTTTAACATAAATCAATCTTTTTTATTTACATAATTTTGATATTTTTTTCTTTTCTGAAGGTGGTGCTTTTTCTTTCTGTACATGTAATTCTTTTTTTATTTTTATCATTTTTTCCAGTAAAATTATAAATATAGTTTAGTTTATAAATGTAGAGATTTTTAAGTAATTTACATACTATTACTTAAGTTGTTGTATATATTGTTTGAATCTTTATTAAGTTAGTTGTTGGCCAGATATGTATTTTTTCTTATGTAACTGTTCATTATTGTTATTCTAAGGGGACATCATCCCAGAATAAAGTTTATTTTCTATTCTATTCTATTCTAAATTCAAATAATAATTAGTGATAATCGTAAATATCATTAACAAGTTACATAAGTTTTTTTTTTTTTTTAATCTGTTTATTGAATAATAATACAATCAGCCACTGCTGGAGGGCTATAAGCATTAGGGCTACAAGTTCTCATTCATACAATATATACAAATAATAAAGAAATAAATATAAATATAATAAGTAAATAAATAATACTGGTGAAGAAGTTAAATAAAAATAAAATAAACAAATAAAATAAAATAAAAACTTCTAAACACAATCATACCTATATACAATATATACATTCGCCCAAGAATCTCCGAGCCAGGCTTTTTCCCCCACACGTGGAAGGCGAAGCAAGACTCCGGAAGATCCCAGCTCCACTTTTCCAGCCGCATCACTAGTATTAGAAGCCAATGGAGACTGAAAGAGGGCACTAGAGCCACAGACGCTCAGGACATGAGTGGAGAAGCTGGTCATTGCCAAGGCATATTTACAAAAGATCTCGAGGCCACTGCCGTTTCAACCTTCGAGGGGGATGGTATGGATGTTCGGAGCTGGATAGGGATTGCGCTAGAAGATTGGGATGATGAATGAGGTTCTGGTGAAAGTTGGAGAATATGGATGGGATGATGTCATGGACATATGGGATGTTAAGGTCATGGTGTAGGGTCTTGTTCGTGACATAATATGGAGCATTGACTATTGTTCGAAGGACTTTGGACTGGAAGGATTGGATGCATTTGATATTCGATGATTTAGTTGTCCCCCACAGTTCAAGTCCGTAGGTCCAGATAGGTTTCAGTATGGTCTTGTAGATTAATAATTTGTTTTCTGTTGAGAGATGAGATATTCTGTTTAGTAGTCTATATAGCTGACCAAATCATCGGTTAAGCTCTTGTCTTTTAAGTCTGGTATGTGGGTTCCAAGTCAGTCTTTTATCCAAAAGGAAGCCAAGGTATCGGACTGTGTCTGAGTAGGGAAGAGGAATTGAATTAAAAAGGATTGGCGGACAGGATCTGCGTCGAAGAGTGAAAGTTACATGCTTGCATTTTGATTCATTAATTTTGATGTGCCAGTTGTTGCACCACTGCTCAATGAAGGAAAGGTGTCTTTGCAGGTTCTGAGACGCTATTAGAGGATCCGAGTGAGAGGATAGGATGGCAGTATCATCAGCAAATGTTGCTAGGAAGGTATCAGGACTTGAAGGGATGTCAGCGGTGAAAAGGATGTAGAGAACTGGGCCCAAGACACTGCCTTGTGGAACACCAGCCTCAATTGGATAATGTTTGGAGAGTTCAGTGCCGCAGCAGACTTGAAAGGAGCGATTTGAAAGGTAGGATTTGAGGACTAGGTACAAGGGTTGAGGTAAATGGGTTTTGAGCTTGAAAAGCAAGCCATCGTGCCACACCCAGTCGAAAGCTTGAGCCACGTCCAGAAAGGCACCAGTGCAATATTGCTTGTTTTCAAGTGCAGAGGATATGTGGTCGACAACGCGAAGGCCTTGTTGGACAGTGGAGTGTCTTGAGCGGAATCCAAACTGATGGGGAGGGATATTGTGGGATTCGAGTATGGGTAGGATGCGTTTGAGAAGGATTTTCTCAAAGATTTTGGAAAGGATCGGAAGTAGGCTTATCGGTCTATAGGATGATGTATAATTAACAGGTTTACCTGGTTTAGGAAAGAGGATAATTATGGAGTGTTTCCACACCAGAGGAAAGTGGGTTGTGCGGAGGATACAGTTGAATAGGTATGTAAGGAATATAATTGCTTTTTTGGGAAGTTGTCTGAGGATCTGGGAAGTAAGGAGATCGTGTCCTGGAGATTTGCGAGGTTTTAGGTTCTTTAAAAGGAATTTGACCTCAGAGGGGTTGACGGCTGTAGGAGGTAAGGAGAGAGGAATCGGTGAAGAGAGGAACTCTTTAACTTCAGCAGTATGGGAGGGATGGAGTTCAGGATGAGGAGTGAATGTGTACGATAGATGTTTAGCAAACTCTTCTGCTCTATTCTCATCTGACGAAGCCCAGGAACCATCATCACGGCGGAGGGGGTGGGAAATGGATTGGAATTTAAGGATTTTTTTAGTTACATTCCAGATGGAGTTATCACTTGCAGATAGTGAGGAAAGATAGGAATTATAGGATTGGGATCTAAACGTGGCCAGTTTTTGTTTTACTTGCTTGGAATAATAGTTATATGATTTCCGATCATCAGGATGCCTGGTTCTTTGCCAGATAGCCCTAGAGCATCGTTTTCTATTAATAAGGTCCAGTAGGCTTGGGGTAGAGGATTTGTTTTGCGGTATTTTTTAGAAGGATCAGGTGAAGATGCAGTCCAAACTGCTTGTTGGATCAAGGTAGTCATGGAATGTACTGCTTCATCTAGGTCTGTAGGTGTTTTTAAGGAAACTCTGAGGTCAATATTATCATCCAGCATTTGACGGAAGAGGTTCCAATTAACTGGCCCCCTGATAAATGAAGGTGGAGGTGGTTCGGGAATTGGTGATGTGGAAACCGTTAGGATTAGGGGACTATGGTCTGAGGAGAGATCATCAAGTCTTGAGATGCAATAATTAAGGGACCCTAGACCTTTGTGGATGAAAAAATCTAGGAGATCGGGATTGCGGTTAGGATCTGTTGGCCAGTATGTGGGAGAATTGGGTGAGAGGATGTTGCTGTGATGGGAATTAAGTGCAGCTAGCAATGTTTGTCCTCGGGAATTTGTGGTTCTGGCTCCCCATTGCTGGTGTTTAGCATTTAAGTCTGCACCTAGAAGGAAGTGGTGTCCTAAGGAGTTAAGGAAGGAAGTTAATTGGGATTCTGAGATGGGTATTTTAGGCGGGGAGTATGCTGCGACTACTGCTATTGGGTAAAGGGAAGTTTGGATTATCACGGCAGTGGATTGTAGGAAATTATGGGTTGGCAAAGGGAATAGATGATGGGAAACGGATCTATGGATAATTATGGCAGTGCCACCATGTGCTGTTCCATCAGGATGGTCGGTTCGATAAATATTGTAGCCGGGAACGTTGATTTGTCGTTTGTTGGTTAGTCGAGTTTCAGTTATTAGTGCTATGTCGATGTTTTTGTCATGTAATAAGATTGTCAGTTCGTTGATGTGGTTCCGAATACCATTCGCATTCCAAAGGAGAATGGAGAGGAATTTGGTTGAGGACATTTATGGATTTCTTGGCAGAGGAATGAGGTTGGATATAACATTGGTAAGTAGCGAAATAAGAGGGGTAATGAGAGATCTAAATTCGGAAAGGAAAGATGTCAGTAGGCTTGTTAGGTCAGTGGAATTGGAAGGAGGATGAATGAATGTATGAGTATTTAACCTACGTTCAGGGATGGAGGGATATGGGTCTTGAGGTTGATGTGTGAATTCTTGAGGTTTAGGTTCTTGTGGCAGGGCCTGAGATTGAGAGTTTACAGTGTCTCCTTTGAACATCTGAGCATAGGACACTCTTCCGTTCACTATTCTAGATGGTTGTCTTGGTGGCCTGGATGTCCCTTCTTCTCTAGGCGTTGCGTACATTCGTGTTTTTAAATTTTTGTATGTTTGACAACCCTTGTAGTTGGCTGGGTGTCCTTGGTGGCATAAAGCGCATACTGCAGGTGAAGTTCTTGACTTCCTACAGTCCTCTGTTTTGTGTTGCTCACCACACCTCACACATCTAGGAATGTGATGACAATACCGTTTCGTATGGCCATAAGCCTGGCAGTTATGGCATTGAACGATGTCGCGCTTGCTGTAGGGCTTTTCTACAACAACGCTTGTATAATAAAGGCGTGTGACCTTGTAGATGTTTTCGACATCGGGTGTTCGGTCAAGGTAGTTACATAAGTAGAACATAATAATTTACAGTGATGCTTGGGCTTGCAAGTATACCTGGACCTTGTCAGGCAAATGATAAATGTAATCTGAGTTATGAAAAATGGCTGATGATATATTATCCAAACCATTATAATAATTATATTTTGAAGATTTGATAACCTCAGGCAATGGTGATTAGGTGACCATAAGCTCATGATAAAAGCATCTTCATGATTAAATAGAAAATAATAGATAGAAATGGGTCAAATAATGTTTTTTTTTAGGATCAAAAAATGTTTAATTAAATTACAACGACTGTTTAAATACAAGTAGACAAATAAAGGCATACAGTTATAAATATACACCAGTACCGGCCTTAGATACTTGGACAACCGGGCCACAACATCATCACTAACCCCCTAAAAAAATTAAATTTATTTCTTAAGCTATTTTATATTATATAAAATATGAATTATATTTCATTCAATATTTCTCTAATATAGTCTAAATATTTCTCTAATATCAACACCTAAGTCTCCTATGAAACTCCTTATTCTTTTTTTAATTGTCCCACGAGAATTCAAACAAGAGGCTCTTCATGTTGAACTCTCCCCCTTTCTCATATTTTTAGGTTGAAAGAAACACGAATTACCATTTCTCCAGATCATTTTCAAAATACTTTCATAATGCAGCTTTTCTTCAACTTGGCAACACTGACTAGAGATAATATTAAAAAGTAAAATAGGATTAGTGAAAAAATTTTGATTTAAAGTGAAGATAATTATTTTTTATTACTATAAAAAAATCTACAGTCAGACCATCGGGTCAGCTGAAAAATTATTTATGGAAGAATGACTGAAGAATCGGTCTTGTCAGCTGGAGAAAATATATTTGTGTAGGAGGTTTTCAAATAATTCACATGAGATTGTAAACTCCGAATCCTCATCTGAGCTTGATCAAAATTCTGATTTAACTGTATTATTTGAGCTTGCATCTTCTGTCGTATCTGAAATTTTATAATGAACAGATAAAATAAAGAAGGTAGTAATACAGATCATTGAATAACAATAACTAATATAATAATAATTTAAGAGGTAATTTTTTCATAAAATCCAGAAAAAAAAACAATTTTTTTAGAAAATTAAATACATTACTTTTTTTTTATTCAAATAGTATTTACAATCATGAATTAGAAATATAAACAACTTGAACACTGTAATAAAGAAATCTTGATTGTAAAAGAAACCAGGTAATCCTTAAATGAACAGTTTTAACAGCAGAAGCATTTATGTATATTAAAACCATAGATGGGCATAATCATAATCAATGGTTACAGTGATCTAGATTACAGTTATAAATTATTTAATAGTTAGTTGTAAAATAATTATTATTTCTGGTAGAGCACGTCTATGATGTAGGGTCTATGTGCATTCTACGTCTCAAACGAGCAGTACATGATAAGAAGTAGACATCCTGGAATTTAAATGTTTGCTAGAGCCAGCAATCAACAGGAAGGAAGTTGTAGGTATCAAGAAGGAAATCAGAGAGTCTATCACAGCTCGAGGACAATATTTAAGGAGAATATAATCAGGAAATTTACTGTTTCCTAGTGTTGGTGAATAATCCACCTGGCCAGGTGATATACTAATTAGTTTCTATAATAATTTATTTTTCTTTATTTTCTTCAATACAATTTTATTATTCTTTTTATTACAATTTTTATTCTTAAGAGATTATTATTTGCATATATTTTTATTAATTATAAGTCTAGGGATGATTTCTTTTATTTTATTGTAATTTTAACAGCTGATGATTTTTTTTTTGTTTTTTTTTTCTTTATTTGAAGCTATAAATTTTTATCTTTAAATTAAATAGGTAGAGTGTGTAATTATACTTGAAGTATAAAAAACAACATTCTCCTTTTAACAATCTCATTTATTTTCTTTTGGACCTTTCGGTGCTCTTCTAAAAAAATTTCCCAAAAGAATACATATACATCTATGCCTTAAAATTCCTAATTGTCACCCAGAGCCCTGCCTTATTTACCTTTGCAATGCTCATTCTATCCGTGTTTAGATTTTGTTCTTTAAATAATTTTTTTCAATCATTCAAGTCTTAATGTTAAAAAAAAGTGTTTGTGGCTTTTCCATCTGTGAGTTAAACAATCAAAAGTAAGAAATTTATATATATATATATATATATATATATATATATATATATATATATATATATATAGATATACACTGACAGGCAAAAAATTCCACCCACTTGATTTTTCCATGTTTTCATCTAAAAATATTTCTGCTTTGGATTGGTCTATTGTTTTTAATGAATAAATTTGTAATCATTTTGTTTGTTTTCAATTAGGAATGTTAATATAGAGAACAATAACTCTTAATCCTTAATTCAATGAAATGATTCTAGATTCCAATGTTTACTTTCTATGGAATCAAAATGTTTATTCAGTATCATTAGTTCAGTGCCGTTTCATGCAGCACATTTCTTAGTCTCTGGCTTTTAATTTTTTCAATATCCTCTTCTTCTTTCTCTACCTCCTTTGTGCCTTTCAGCGTGAAGGTGTCTCGATCCATGCATCCCAAGCATTTCGGTCCCGAGCTAGAGCCCTCATATCCCCTATCCTCATACCTCTTTTCTGCCGATCTGGGAGATGTACTCTAACTTTATATATATATATATATATATATATATATATATATATATATATATATATATATATATATATATATATACATATATATATACATATATATATAAACACGGTGTAATAGGAAATTGTTGTGACATAACTCAGTTTATTGTAACTAACCAGAAGTAAGAATTTATTTTTAATATAACTTACTATAGGAGGAGAGAGGACCTCTATTGTACTTCTATTGTTCTCATTTATGGTCATACTCTGGGCTCTGAACGTGTTTTATCATCAAAAACCCCACCATAACCCCTTCTACCATTAAAATTAAAAAATAAAAGTTTTTTTTTAAAATAATGTACACATATAAATACATTTTCACAACATATGTTCATACATACACATGGATATGCCATTGGAATTTATATTTTATTTTAATATCTGGCTGATTATCTGATTATACTGCTTTGAGATGTTAGCTGAATCAAGTTTTGAAATTATAATGTTCTGTTGGTTGCCTGCCATGTAAATGGCTTCAATGATCTTTCTCTCCTCCTATAGTAAGTCATATTACAAATACATTCTTACTTCTGGTTAACTGCAATAGACTGAATTGTATTACAATTTCCTATTACACCACGTTTTTATATTTTTTAATTTTAACTCACAGATGGAAAAAAAATTAAAATAAAGACTTGAATGATTGAAAAAAATTATTTGCAGAACAAAATCCTAAAATGGATGGAACGAGAGTTGGAAAGCCAGATAGAAATAAGGCAGGATTCTGGGTGGCAATTAGCAATTTTAATGTATAGATGTATATCTACTCCTTTTGAAATTTTTTTTAGATGAATATGGTGCCGAGCATCGAAAGCTCCAAAAGATAAAATAAATGAAACTGTAAAAAGAAGGGTGTTGTTTTTGCTTACATCAATTAAAAATATATTTATACATCAGGAGAGTCAAAATATTATCTTTATATGTTACTATAGTACCCTTATCATTTTATAATAAATATAAAGAGTGTTGCCAGAGATCCATTGCAGTATTTCCTTTGCTTTGTTTTAGGTTTTCATGTTTTTATTGTGGTGCCTATTATTAACAATAAGGTTCATATATTTTATTAAATCATTTTTATTTTTGTTACCATTATTATTATTATTTTTTTTTTTTTATAAAAAATCATGAGTTTCTGTCCCGGCACAGGAGAAAGGAATTTTAACGGCATTAATCCACCACCCTCACCCACTGCCACAGTAAAACCCTGTACAGCCAAAAAGGCGAGGAAGGGGAGAAAAAAAAAATTTAAAAGGTCTCTTTCATCTTTAAAAATATTAACAAATATACTTGGAATGAAAATCACCAAAAGAAAGTGTGATGACTAGACTACAATAAAATATAAAAATAAAAAATAGTGTGCATGCATTTATCAGTAAACTTATGTTTGCCTAAACACACAATACCACAAATGAATATTTTAAGTTTTAGCTTTCAATTTCACTAGATGGATCTATTGGGGTGGCAAATAAGTTCTTTCTTCCAAATAAGATCTTTGGTTTATTGTAATGTGATTACTACAAATGGGAAAAATAAATAAAATACATATTTTTTAATTACATCATCTCTATCTTTCTGAGCAGCTTTAGCAGAAGCTCTTGTTGCAGCCAACTGATTTTCCAATTCAAATATCTGGCTCTGAAGAGATTTCCTCATGTTTTCATACCTGTCCTTGATTCTGGAGACTTGCCTTGCGGACTCTTCCCTAAGAGTTTCCAACTGACTTTGGAGTTGAAGGCATTCCTGAACTTTTCCTTCATATTTTCTTTCAGTTACCTTTGCCAAGTCCTCTAGCCGAATAACAGTAGACCTATAACAATGAAATTAATGAGAAAAACATGTCATTTTATCAAGGCTTCTAAATAATAATAATAAGTCATTGGGTCTCGAAAAGTGCCATACTCAAAGTTATTAAAGGATAAGTTAAGAAAAGCATTTCCTTACAGCTTCCATCAGATAAGTTCATGAGACACCAGTCTGCAGGAGAATTTATATTAAACCTTATTTTATATATAATACCTAGATATTTCACAGGCTATTACGATATCCAAGAAAGATGTACTTAGTGCAATAACTAGCAAGTTTAAATTTCAAAATTCAAAGACTGCATCAGATTCTTAGAATTCATCTAAATGGTAAAATAAAAATCCATGCTATTAATACATGGGTAGCATACAGTTTTGGTGTAAAAAACTGGTTGACAACTAAACTTCAAGAACTGGTGCGTTCAACGATGTCAGATGCTAAGATTTATCACTCAAAGGTATCCATGGCAAGATTCTATTTGCCAAGGAAATAAGGAGGTCATGGGCTTATTTCGATTGAAGATTCTTGCCGAAAACTAGAAACTTCTCTGAAGAAGTACTTTATGAGAAATGGAAATGATCACCAGAATGAAAGAATTGGATGAAGGCTAGACTACCCTGAATTTTAGCAATCAAAATCAGCCTGAAGTGAGAAATGTCGACTATTATACACGGTGTCCCGTAAGTAGAGGGAAAATGTTATAGGAGTGATAGCAGACCTCAAGAGCTACAAAAAAGTTCGTATAAACAATGGGCCAATTTTCCATGAAAATAATTGAAGCAATCAGCAAGGTTCTTTGTTTTCATAACTACTTTATCTGAAAAATATCTAAAAAAGCATTATTTAAAAAAAAATTATAAATAAAAAGTTTATTTAGGCAATTATGTTAATTATAATACATCCCAGCAGATCATAGAAAAACTAGAAATAAAAACGCTGCAATAATCAATGACAGTCATTTTTGCTGAAAACATGGCTACATTTATGTGACAGGATAAAAAATCACATTATTTTTTTTACACAACTTGAGGTGAATATTAAGTTATTCTCCTCTCAAACCTCTATTAATTAATATGGACTTAGACTGGAAGCTTATTAATCGAGGAAATTTTTCTAAAAGGGGGGTATCTGTAAATAGTTGGATGAAAATAAAAAAATCACGAATGATTTTTTTTTTTTTAACAGAACTTTGCTTGGTTTAGCTGCCAAAAAGTCCTCTATGAATGGTTTTACCAATAACAAATTCAACTTTAATTTGGAGTAAATTTTGTCTTGTCTACTGTGATGCAATTGTAAATTACTTAACATGAGTGATAAATATTCAGAACGCAGTCATTATAAAGTTTTTATTGGTGCCGACATTTCAACTCAAACATGTGGATCATCATCTGGTTGTGTTTCGAGCACTGAAGATATTCGAGTCCTGAGTGAGTACTTGAATACCTTCAGTGCTCGAAACACACCCTGATGATGACCCACATGTTTGGGTTGAAACGTCGGCACCAATAAAAACTTTATAATAATGACTGTGTTTTGAATATTTATCACCCTTGATATGTAGAACAGTCGACTAACTTCCTTCAATAGTTAATTACTTAAATTAAATATTTCTTTAGTTATTGCTTCCTATTCAACAAAAAACACCTCTTACCTAAAAATACATAAAACTTGGATTTCATATTTTTCTGCTGAAAATTGATCCATTGTTTATATGAACTTTTTTGAAGCTCTTGAGATCTGCTATCACTCCTATAAAATCAACAACATGAGCCTGAGATTCACAATGAGTTCTTACTTGAATGTTTTAAAACAGGGCAAATATATAGCGAGACAGAAAAATTTTCTATATCTATTCAGGATCAAATTATCGCAACCGGAGTTTATAGGAAGCATACATTAAAAGAAATGTTGGTCACAGATAAATGTCCCATTTGTTCTAAGACACATGAATCTATCCGGTATGTAACCAACACCTGTAATTGGTTGGGACGGAATACCTGATGAGGCATACTAACATTGCAAAAATATACCACCAATGTATATGCAGAACATTTGGAATTCTGGGCAATGATTAGCTATCCTACTCTCATCCAAGAAAAACTTAAAGAAAATAGAAATGCAAAAGTTTACTTTTTATCATTTAGAAAAAGGAAGAATAAAACCACTAATCATTTCTTCAAATGGACTGATATTGAAAAGCATAATAGAGGGTACACAAGAACTTGGACTTCACTTGATGTATTGAAAATCAGTACAAAAAGCAGTCCTGCTCAATATGTGCAGGATTCTAAGAAAATTTCTAAATAAGTAAAATTATTCATCTATATTTCCTTGAATGTTTTTTTCTGGTACATAGATGCTATTCATGAAATCTGAGAAGGTGAAGCAAATAATAATAATAAAAAAGCTTAGCGAACTAGAAGGTTTGATGGCGACAACACCAATTGCTTTCTACAATGCAATCTTCCCACCTTCACTTCAGTCTACCCCTCGGATGTTTAGCAGTTGGCACATTGCATATTAACCTTTTAGGAATTCTTTCATTACTAAACCCAACGATTTTACATGCCAATTTTATTTGCCACAATGCAATTACTTCAATTATATTAACCGGATATAGTTCACACAATTCGGCGTTATGTAATCGTCCAAAATCTCTGGTTATCGAATCCTTCTTTGTTCTGGATATTCTACGCAATATTTTATTTGCAAAAACCATAAGGTGTTGGATTTTTCTCATCCCTTAATATAAACGGCCATATTTCGCATTCATAAAGAACCGCAGATAGTAAAATAATTATGTAAATTCTAATTTTTAAGTTTTGTGAAAGGTGGCCCGAGCTAAGCAGTTTTGTCACAGAACAATGCCTGCAAATAGTTAGGATAAATAGCTGATCATATTTCTAACTTAATTTATAAATAAATAATATAAACAAGTAATGTTTTCAATATTAGGTTTTTGAATAATACTTAGAGGAAGGTGAAAATTCCAAAAAGAGAGTATCTATAATATTGTTTCTTCAAGAAATAATTTTAATAAATGACATGATTTTTATTCCAAATTCAAGGGTTTTACTTATTTTTCTATTTATTAGAAGCAAAAAAATAAAAAGTAAGAGTAATGAATTAATCTATGGTAAGAGGACAAAAGTCTGGCACGTTGTTCTTGGGGTGTCTGCCAATCACAGATGGCTACCATTGACCGATAGCTTAATAATGTAACCGTAAGGAAGAAAGAACCGTACGGAAGTGTCAAGATTCATTTCTTGAAACTGCCAAAAAATAAATATTAACTGAGCCAGGAGGTAATTGAACCCACAGTGTTCTGAACTAGGCACTCTGGGGCCCTCGTTTCAATGTACTCAGCCATTACAGAATCATCAATATACCAATATTGTATAATGTATATATGCAAATATATAAGATATACAGATCATATGTAACATACACTCCTCTTGAAACTTTTTCATAATGCAATTCGTAACATATAATTCAATATTAATCTTTGAAAAAAAAAACAACAAAAAAAACAGTAAGTTCATATGTTTCTTACTAATCCAATTTTAGTAATTATTAGAATACATATTTAGGCTATAAATATTTTAATGATATAAGATATGTTTGTTAACTTGGGGAATTATTTATGATAAATATATGAACGAGCAGTTTTCTTTCTGTCATGTATAATTTTTTTTGCTAAATTAGATATTTTTTATTTTATTAGTTTAATTGATGATTTTAGAATCAAAACTAGCAGAATCCAATTTTTAAGGCGAATTAAATACATATTAAATGTATGTATCATGAAAATATAAGTAACTTAAATTCATAGAATACTTTACAAATTTATAACACAAACTAGCATAATTTCAGTTATTTATGTTTCATAATTAATATATCAATGATCCTTGAAAAAAAAATTTAAAGGTGGACTTTTGCAAAAGTGGGTTTTGTTGTTTGAAGGCCTTGATTACTAGGGCTTTTAAATTTATCTTTGCTATAAATAGGAAATATAAAGTAAACAAACTAGAAATACAGTAAAAAAGAGGAGTGTCAAAATAAAGTAGGTTGTTTCTTGGTTATTTTAAACTTTAAGATTGCAAGAACAATAAGTATGAAAAACCTTAGTTTATTATTTTCAGCTTTTGTCTCTTCCATTTTCTTTTCACCATCAGTGAGATTAATTTTCAATGAAGCTTTCTCGGCTTCACTCTCATTTTTATTTCTATTAATTTCATTCAGCTCCTCTCTCAACTTTTCTTTCTAAAACATTAAAATTAATAATGAATCTCTAAATTAGAAACTATTTATTCAAACCAAACTTATTAAAAAAATAAATACTGAAAGAATAATATTAAGATAACAGAGAACAAATATTTGTTGTCTTTAGTAGTTATTACCTATATTATTCATATGGCTCTATTTAAAAATATAGTGCACACACCAATACACAAGAAATGTTGAACTAGCTAGAGTTAGAATTTTTTCTTCACTAGGAATACTTCTAACAGATTAAAATACCAAGAAACTTTTTTTTTTGGTCCTCCCCTTCCTTGCATTTAAGGCTATATGGGGTTTTCCCGGGCTAGGGATGTGGGGTGTCTCCCAAGATAATCATAAATTGAACTGTGTCACAGTATTCACTCACACTAAAACACACAGAACTAGAGAGACAGATGAGCAACTACTTTTATGAGAACTACGGGAATTTATGTCCTCACTGAGGAGGAGTTTCCTCAGTTGGTGGGTGATGAAAACTTCCCGCGGTTCCAAGAGTTCATAAATGGCTGGAAGATGGCGGTGGGTCCAGCTCACTTCACCATAGGTGCCCGCAGAAGGAGAAGAGGACCAGTCACAGGAAGACCTCCGGATTTGGGAAGCCAGGCCTTATTTGGTTTAGAAGGAGAAAAATTAGAAGAGCTAGCTGTGTGCACAGCTTTGAATTATGTTAACTGATATTATGACAGTAGTGTGTTATTATGCATTAATGCATAACATCACATTACTGCATACACCCGTATTGCCCTGGTGACATGGGAGGGTGGAAAAATAAAATAAAATAAGATGAGCAACTACTGTCATTGCTTTATCGTTCATTTGTTTATCAGGTTATTAAAACCTGTTATTTAGTATTAAACACGTTAAACTTTCTACAGTCAGTCATACTGTAGTAAATAAATAATAAATCCTATGTGCTTGTTTTAGGTGAAAATTTTCTAATATTATAAAATAAGGCTCTGTTTATTTTTTCACCATATTTATTTTAATTTTCAGAGCTACGTTTCAGCCGGTAAGCCATCTTCAAGCCATTTTATCCAACCATGCATGGCAGACTTTGGACTACATGCAAAAAGCATGGTTGGATAAAATGGATTGAAGATGCCTTACTGGCCAAAACGTAGCTATGAAAATTAAAATAAATATGGTGAAAAAATAAACAGAGCCTTATTTTATAAATAATAAATCTTTAACCTTTGATATCTGTTTAATAAATGAGTTTGAAATATATATGTTAATATGAACTTTTTTTTTATTTTGTGTTAGTTTGTGCCTAACACATACCTAAAATAGTTCCCCTGCAATTACGAAACACTCTGTATATATATATATATATATATATATATATATATATATATATATATATATATATCTACAGGGTCTTTCGTAATTTAAAAAAAATATATATATATACATACAAGTTAAGATTCGTAAATGTAATGATATTAATCATAATACCATTTCACAGTTTAATCTAATAGACAATAAAGACACCACATGTTTGATTTAATTTTACTATTCATTATTATCTTTGTCGTGTTCGAATAAATTAAATTGTTTGCTTGCATTCATTGAATACTTATTCAAGTGACAATTAGTTTAACCCACTGAAACTTAACTTATGTATATATATGTATATATATATACATACAGTGGGTTAAACTATTGCAAATTGTCACTTGAATAAGTCTTTTTTTTTTTTTTTATTCTATCAAATATGTTTATTATATACGATCATGAAATTATGCATGAAATGAAACATCAACCAAAAATCGAAAATTTTTAAAATATAATATTTTTCAATATTTCAAGCTCGATTGTTTCAAAAGATTCATGACGTCTCGCTTATTGATTAATTTAAACAATCAAACTTTAAAATATGTTGTGGAATTTGTTAAAAAACATTGTTATATACTTGAAACTGATAGACTAAACTCATTTAGTACTGTATTTTTCAGTTTTTTGTTTTAACTAACATTGTTTCAAAACAGTCATGGAACTTCAATGAGTAATTTTAATCATCGACTTGAAAACCGGTTTAGCCATTTGCTTAAAAAATTGTTATAAAAAACTAGGATAAACACATAATCTTTCTTGTGATTACACCATAGTCGGGTAATAACATTAAAGTCTAGAATCATTAAAAAGTACTGACCTGGTCATTAGCTATTTCCAAGTTTTGTGACAAAATCAAACAATTTTTTTCAGCGAGTGTTTTAAGGTGAATCGTTTCTTTTAACTTTTCTTGTGTCTTTCTTAAAATCTCTGGTAGAGGAGCCAATTCCTCAAGTTTTGAATGAAACTGTGCCTAAAATTCAAGAAATCTATGAATTTAATCGCAGTAAAAGTGTAAATTAAATTAAACTATTTATTAAATGCCTCAAGAGCAATACAAATAAATAAGTCTTCTATAACCTAACAGTCATAAATATCTCAAATTCTTTCTGAATGTAAAATTAATTCAAGAATTGTGAGATGTGTTTAGTCTCCCATTAGTGGAAGTTGACTTTTACCATTATATCTAAACAATTTAGCCAGGAAAAAAAATAGAGGAAATATATTGCAAGGTAAAATTACAAGAATATGCTTATAAAAGCAGATTTTGAAAGTTAATGAAATTAAAACTGCTCTAAAAATTAGGGATGTTTGAACTAACCACTTATTTATTAGCTGGTGCTATAGGTGCTTTGTGTATTAATTACATTTTACCATTACTGGATCCCCTAACATTTCAGCCTTAAATACCAAATATTTAAAAGTTAAAGCTTCTTATTCTGTTATTTTTATCTAATAATTCTCATTATCTTTTTGTTTTTCATTCATTTTTACTTCTTTAATATTTTGCAACTGTTTAATTAATAATTTTTATGAACTATAAGCAATTTAGGAAACAATTATTATCTGCAGATGTGATAATTTGGCCAGTCTGTAGTATTTTCACTTTGGAAGTGATTATTTCACTGACCCCAAGCTCTATCAATCCATAGATTCTATCAGTCTTCACAGATTTGCAAAGGCATCAATGAGGCCGCGGTGCATCCTTTTGTCAGGCCAAAAAAAAAGAAGAAATTAGGAAACAATACATATTATGCCAAATAGTATGGAGGAGAGATGTGTAAAAAGTACTCTGAGAAAAAGTACAAATTACAGAGTATATTACTGAAATACTTACACAGTCTGAGTACAGATTTATTCGTTATCAATGTCCACTATTATGAAAATACTATTGGATTTAAGATAGTGCAATTGTGTATCTTGTTATGGTAAATTCTCAGATTCCTTTGATATAAGGATAATTTAATAATCCACTATTATGTTCTTGGGTGTGCTTTTTATGAAAATACTGTAAGATATAGAATTGTAAAATAGTGTTTCTCATCATGTTCAGTTCAATTTTCAAATTTCTTTGATAAAAGGGTTCACCCAATATTATGTCGTCAGGGGTACTTTTTATTATGCACAATCATACTTCATGTTTCAGTAAATTTTCAGACAAAAAATCCAATAATACACCTTGACATTAAAGAAATTCAAAATGTTTAAATAAATCTATAAGTAATCAATTTACATTAAAATCTATATTATTTTTAAAAATACACTTCAAAATATTTAAATAAATTGATATACTAACTTGGAATCGATATCATTTTATAAAGGTGCGTCTTCCATAACCTCTTTATGGACCTCTTTATTGAAGGACTTAAACAAATATATATATTCCTTATAATAATGGTGGTACAGTTGAAAAATAAAAAGTAGTCAGAAGAATTTGGCTGAGTGTTTTATGTGATCAGATATAACACTGGGAATACTTTCTGTACTTAACTAAGTATGATTAATGCTGTGTGAGTACTCTCAGTGCTATTCACCCAGCTGAGTACTGAGTACTGAAAGTACTCTGTACTTTTTCTTATAAAAGTACTCAAATCATAAAAAGTAATAGAGTACTGCCCATCTCTGGCATGGAGTTAATTGTTTTTCTGAATCAACAATTCCCTTATGAGGTTGTTACCAACTATGTGTTTTAAAATCTTAATAATCTTAAGTTAGGATAAAAATCTAATCATAATTTTTACAATGGTATATCTTTAGATATAATTAAAATATAATGCTGCCCTCTACCTTAACTCTTTGAAGTTCAAGTGTAACTTGTTCTCCAAATCTACTACTTTCCATTTCCATCATTTCAATTTGACGCTTTTGCTCTTCTACAGTCTGTTGCGCACTAAGAAACTTTTAAACAAATATTGAATAAATGAAATAGTTTAAATAAATGAAAAGCTTTTAATATGTGTTAAAACTTGAAAAGTTTTTCAACTCATTTTATGATACTAGATAATATCTACTGTTTTAGAACTATCTATTCTTTATTTCTCTTTCATAAATAATAACCTTATATAAAGATCATTTATTTAATTATACTTTTTATTTGGCATGCTGTGAAGAGGTGTTACATTATTGTAATAAAAAGGATACCAAGCTGAATGTAATTTGAGAAGAATAAAAATAAAATATTTTAAAAAACAAATTTTTATCTATTAAAAAAATAAATATTGCTGATTGTAGATGTAATTCAAGAAGTTTGTGAGGGAGGAGAAGGAGAAAAGAGTGGGGTAAACTTATTCATACTTTATTTATTAAATATGATAATCATAGCACCACAGTCTACTACAGCTGCAGCAATGATCAACACTAAACGGGATTCGTCATAAGAAAGTTCTTTTGGAATCTAATTATTGGGATATTTATAACTTATAAAGCATTATAAGTACTCATCACACTTTGCAGTATTTAAGAATCTCATTATCAGAAGTACCTTATTTCTGCACAAAGGGGAAATGTCAAACAGACTGACAAATTCTCATTGACTGCAGACACAACACCAGTATAATGGATGTCCGAGTATTTAAGCGTGTGTTTTAAGCTAGTGTTTACCTTTGTATAGCTCGCATTTAAGCGATAATAGCATGCAGATCTGCAAGAACAACCCAAAGGATATCCAAAATTTCAATCTTAAAAAGTTCAGAGATCCTAAACTCTACAGAGGGATCTGGCTTATTGAAAAATATCAAGAAATGTAATTAAAAATATAAAGAAATGTTTGATTTGAAATTATGATCCGCTTTGAGAGATTGTGATGATATGGAATGGGCTAATTATAGTACTGTAATAGAAAAAGCTGCTGAGGAAATTTTAGGGCAAGTTGAAAAAGAATCCATGTGATAGAATAGAATAGAAATAGAATAGAAAAATCATCTTTATTCTGGGACTAGGTCCCTTTAGAATAACAGTATTGTTCATATATATTAACTACAAATCTGGTCAAAAGACTTATTACAATGAATAATGACAAAATACATGTAATACATTAAGTATTAATTAAGCTCTTAGGATAAATTAACGAGGACAGTTTGGTAACAGGGGTTCAGTACTACAATATTGGAGCTAAAATAATTGCATAATAATCACTGAATGAAATTATAAGGAAAGTAAAATCTATTTTATAGGTAAAGCATTGTAGTGATGGAATATAAAAATTTAAAAAAATAATAATAACTGTTAATATGTAGGGAAAGAAATTGTAAAAACTAAAACAAAAAAATATGTAAAAAAACAAATAATGATATACATATGTTCCCTAAGATATTTAAGTGATTATGCGTAAAGATTAGGAGAAGAGAAAATAAAATAAAGTATATACATACACATAGCGAGAAGTATGTTGAAGATAATTAGAAATAAAATACATTTCACTGAAATACATTCCATGAATAACAAATTAGAACTTAAGGAAAACAAATTTTATCTACTCACAATGCTTAGTGAGTGGTGATGAAAATTCACGTTCAACACAGAACAAAACAATAAAAAATAAGAGAAAAAAATAATGTCTAAAGAAAATTAAATCCTTATAACATAGTATGTATTTGGATTGTGAAGAGGAATTGGAATAAGAGGGTTTTAAAGGTGGATAAGGATGATGCATGGCGGATTTTTAGTGGGATGGAATTCCAGAATGCAGTGGAACGGACAACGAAGGAATGTTTAAATGATGCAGATCTGTGGAAAGGAGTGTAAAGATCAGAAGGACGAGATCTTGTGGAGAGGGTGTGGATAGATGATTTGAATTGTAGGAGATTGTATGCGTAGGACGGACGATGACTATTGATTATTTGGTAAAGGAATGTGCCTAGGAAATATTGTCTTTGGAAGGAAGGGAAGAGCCATCCTAATTCAGCATAGTGGTGCGAAACACGGGAATACCTCAGGGCCCCTGTGACAAATCTAACGAAGGCATTCATAATTCTTTTCAGTCTCTCCCCGAGTTCTGCCGAGAGGCCACCGTACACCACGCAGCCGTAATCAAGGTGGGGGAAGATGAGGGAAGTTACCAGGAGTCTACGTGTGGAGATGGGTAGGAGATGGCGGAAGCGATGGAATAGTTTCAAGGTACCAATTGACTGTCGGGTAATGTGAGCAATATGGTGTTTCCAGGATAGGGTTTGGTCTATGAAAATGCCTAGGTTTTTTACTGAGGAGGTGAAGGTAATGGGATGGTCATTTAGGTACAGTATAGGTATGTTGGTATTGGCTCTGAGAAGGGGGTTGGAACCAATGACAATGGCTTGAGTTTTTGCAGCGTTTAACCTTAACCCATTTAAGTTTGCCCAGGCACTGATCCGATTCAAGTCTTCTTGAATTTTGGCAAACGCTTCATGCAACTCTGAGGGATGGAAGGAAAGGTAGATTTGGGAGTCATCGGCGTAAAGGTGATGGGAGCAGTGAAGGATTGAATTATGGATGTCATTGATATAAGAACTAAAAAGGAGGGGAGATATGCTAGAGCCCTGGGCCACTCCTGCGGACAAAGTAAGATAGGAAGACAAGGGTTGATTAGGAATAGCGACAGCTTGTGAGCGTTGGGAAAGGAATGATTGAAACCATAGGATAGAACTATGGGAAAAGGATAATGATTTTAATTTGGAAAAGAGAATGGAGTGGTTGATGGAATCAAAGGCTTTGGAAAAAATAAGTATAAGGACGGTTAGTTTTTTGTCATCAATGGCGGACTGAACATCATTAATGATTTTGATTAGGGCGGATTGTGTGGAATAACCTGGTCGGAAACCAGATTGGTAAAGGTCAAGTTGATTGGACTGTTCAAGGAAGGTGGAGACTTGGGATTGCACAATTCTCTCCAGGGGTTTGGAAAGGTTAGAAAGGATTGAGATTGGCCGGAAATCTTCAGGGGAAGACGGTTTAGAATTTTTATTTAAAGGACGGACTGTGGCTTTTTTCCACAAGGAAGGGAATACTGAATTTTGAAGGGAAAAATTGTAGATGAAAAGGAGTACCGGAAGGATTTCAGGGAGGCATAATTTAATTAATTTGATGGGAATGCCATCTGGACCAATAGAATTAGAGTGTGATTTCATCACGGCGGATATGAGGTCTGTGGGAGAAATATCTGAAAAATAAAAATCGGCGTCATTGAAAGATGTTCCAGGAGGAAAGAAGGAAGGGAGAAATGAAGGAGTTGAAGAGGAAGCAGATATAAAATAAGAATTTAAGTCATTTGATGAAACTGGGGGCACTGCAGAGGGAGGAGATCTGGTAGGATCACAAAGAGAGAGTTTACGTAGCCATTTGGATTTGGAATCAGGAGCTGAGGAAAGGGCTTCATGGAAATAGGTAGATTTGGCTCGTCGGATTGTGGATTGTGTCAGGTTGCGGAGCGCCCTGAACGCTTGATAGTCATCATGCAATCTAGTGCGTCTAAAGCGTCTCCGGGCTGCATCACGCCTCTTCTGAAGATCCTTAATTTTCTGACACATCCAGGGAGCAGGAAGGCGACGAAAGGTGGAAGTTTTGAGAGGGGCATGGTCATCAAGGATATTAATAAGATTGGAGGTGAGAATGTCAACCATGGAATCAATTGAGGTACAGGAATATATTATATTCCAATCTAGGGATTCTAGGGAAGGTAAGATTTTTTGCCGAGTAAGGCCATTGAGGTTCCGGAAAGTTACCGTTCTCGGTAGGATCGGAGGGGTTTGGATATTATAGGATATTTGGATTAGGTCATGCGACGATAAAAAAGAAACTGGTAATTGGGAAGAGGAAAGGAGGTTTTGAGCGGAATCAATAATGTACAGGTCCAACCAAGTGTCGGACCTTACGGTGTGATGCGTAGCAGAAAAAGGAACGATAAAAAGATGAAGGGAGAAAAAAAGGTTTTCTAGGTATGATTTGTCGCTGGAGTCGGAGAGGAAATTAGTGTTTAAGTCACCGGAAATGATAATTTTGGAATAAAGGGGCACAAAGTTAAAGAGGGAAGCTTCGAAAGACGGGTCAAACGGAACAAGAGGAGGACGATATACCACGGAATAGAGGAGATGAGAGGTGTTACAGGAGATTTCGACGATCAAGAACTCGACTTGTGGCTGATCGGTTGGAGAAGAACGATGGAGAATTCGGGTCTTTAGGTTGGTATGAACGTACAGAGCTACACCTCCGCCAGTCCGGCTGTCCCGGTCGTGGCGGATTAGGGTGTAGTTAGGAAGGGAGACTGAAGAGGAGGGGATGTAGGGCTTGAGCCAGGTTTCGGAAATTGCGATGATGTGGTAAAAGTTTTGGGTAAAATACTCTAGGAATTCATCATAATGGGCTGGAAGGGATTGGGAGTTGACGTGGCAGGAAGTTAGGACACTAGACATAAGTAGGATTTCGGAGAGGACATTCGGTATTTGATGGAAAGACGCTGAAAAAGATTAAATACATTAGATGATGTGAAGAGAAAATAGAGTAGAAAAAAGTATATAAATAATAAGTTAATAAATATCCTTGATAATATAATGTAAAATAAAAGATTTCCGATGAAGGTCCGGTGAGCGTGCCAAAATGTTCATAGATGCTTGATGGTGAACGAGATTCAAGCCGTCATCCGAAGACGTCTAAGTTCTGTGCCTGGTTGATGAGGACAACCTGATGGCCGTCGTCTTTTCTACACCGCACTGTGCCGGAAGCGAACCAGGTATATTTTATTTTCCCCGCGGCTTTCTTCTGCCTTGCGAGCCAGTAGAGGTGCCTATTCTTAGGGGTCATCTCCTCGCCGAGATAGATACGATGGCAGTCATTCTCCTGCCAGCCGATTTCCCGCGTCGAGAAGTCCCGCTTTACTTTTCGTTTCTGCACCAGGTCGTCCCTCACTGACTGCCTGACAAATCGTGCGATGATGGGCGGTGGTCGCGGGTCGTCCTTCTTCGCTCTTCGACGCTGTACAGTGTCCAGGTCATCAATATTGAGCTTGATTCCCAGGCCAGCCCCAATACTTGTAACCAGGGCTGCAGGGGTCTCACCCGCTCGAACCGGAATGCCCCGAATCTCAAGCGATCTATTAAGAAGGCCTTGCTCCGCTTTATTTAGCCTGACCTCCAATTCACCTACCTTAGACTTGAGGGCTTTATTTTCAGATATAATTTCCTCAAAATGTTTCGCTTGTCCCTCTAAATGGTTCTCAATTTTTGTTAACCTTGCATTTAATTCAAAGGTCAGGTCTCCGTATTTGTCCAGCGCTGTTTTAATATTTTTTATTTCGGTGTTAACGTGTTTTTCAACCCGCTGTACTGCCGCCAGAATTTCTGACGGTGTTGGCTCGGTGCTGCGACTTTGCTTCGGGTTTTCACCACCTGCTGCAAACTTTTTTGTTTGATCACAACTGTTACATGTCCATACTTTATTCGATGATTTTTGAGCCTCGAACTCTTTATCGCTAAGTTTACAGCATTTGCTATGAAATAATAATTTGCATTTAGCGCAACATAAAATATTTTTTTCTTCGCGACTGATGTTGCTGCTGCATACCGGGCATTGAGCCATATTAATATGAAGTAAATAAAGTTTACTTACAATAACACGATGTGTTGTTAAGATCCCTAAGCCCAACAGCAGTGCTTAATCCTACAGAGCACAGTTGTTTATCACAGTCCCGTGGCTTGTAATAGTTTATATTACTTAAATACGTTCACTTTTCGAGGAACCGTGAGGAAATACGAGCTGTTAATTTTATCTATGGTTATAGATTTAACGAGATAAAAAAGAAAGAAAAAAAAATTCAAAAATCAACGCAACTTAAACGAAATAAAACACGTGATAATACAGAGAGATGTTAACTGATGGCTGTCTCTGACCAGACTGCTACTGCTACTACTGCGAAAAACATGGCTTATATGAGAATGATCACCAGACAAAAATCTGGAACAGTAAAGGTGTATACAAACAGATGAGGAAGAAGAAGATCCAAAAATGCAGAATTGAAAGAAATGTAGAACAAAAAACAAACAGAAATAGAAAGCCATTCAAGCAAACATCGTCCATATTTATGAGTGATGATGGTACTTTACTGATCAATAACAATTGTTTATCGAAATGGAGAAGACACTTTGAAAAACTATAGCTGTGAGAATCTGTAAAGAAACTGTAGAACAGAGCATCTAGGTTGAGCACGGATGTGGAAAGAATCTAGAACTGTCAAATGAAGATGAAATAATTGACACAATCAATCACAATTAAAGAACCAGGAAAACTCCAACTATTCTTACACGCAGTTCATTGAAAGATTGATCAGCTGAAGTGCATAAACTACTGTGGAATATCTTTACTTAACTGTGTATATAAAATATTCTCATTCTGTTTCATCTCATCATCATTCAACTCCTTCCTGATGTTGAATGTGAGATTGTCACCAACCAATGAAGATTTATACAAGGGAAAACTGAGATGGGTCAGATCTTTAATCTGCAGACTATCACAGAAAAAGAAAGGATAATATATAATCCAAATACATCATCTCTCTATTGATTTTAAATCAGCAAACAACAGCTTCAATAGAGAAAAGTTATACGAAACCCTGCAAGAACTGAGTGTTCACTGGAAACATCTGAGCCTTTTCTATCAAGAATTGGTGTTAGACAAGGAGATGCTTTGTCATGTCTCTTGTTCAATCTTGCTCTTGAAAGAGATATCCAAAATTCAGGAGTACAGACCAGCAAGCAGCATGTCGGCAAGCAGATGCCATTTTGGGCAGTAAAAACACTTATCAAGTAGTCTTGTTTCTTAAAGTTCTATATTAGAGACTGGTTCACCCAATCCTCATATGTATATGGATCAGAAAAACTTGGATAACTACTAAAGGTGAGGAGAGATATACCCAAATATTTGAAAAGAAACTGCTCAGGCATATATATGAACCTGTCTTTTCAATAGAAGTTTGGAGGTGAAGACACAACCAGGAAATATATGAGCTGTTCGATGAATCTGAAATAATTGAAACTGAGAAGCCTGAAATGGATTGTTCAAGTAATAAGAATGAGTAACAAGGTGATCTTAAAGAAACTATGGATAGAAACCATACATGGATGATGTTTTGGATGGAACCCGCACAGAACAGGGATTCCTGTTCAGCAGGAGGCCATGATTCATTGGTAGGTTATAGAGCTACATAACAAAAACTATGATAGTTAAACAACAGTAGTAATAACCTGTTACATTTAAACATTCTGGAACCAATAAAAGTTGTTTTAATTAGAGTCTCACTGAAAATGAATACTATTTAAGTAAATTAAGATCCCGAAAAAATAGCTACTTTCACCACAACTTCGTTAAACTTGTAAAACGGTTCAATTCAATATTTAAATTTTCCATAATTTAGTCCAAAACACCTATGAAATGGAGAACCATTTTATCATCAGAGACTGCAGTAAGATTAGACATTGATAATGGAGGTCACAATAATTTTTATATTTTACTATTGCAATTTTTATTTATAAGTAAATACAAATAAATAAATAATTTTACTAATTTTTAATTTTCTGTTACCTAAATAATTTAATATCAATTAATTACAGCGCTAGTTTAATGAATATCACACAAAAACTACTGGGGGCCACAGCTAGTTCATAGAGGTCACAGGTTCCCCATCTGTGACCTATGGGATGAAATAAATTTATCTTTTTTTTTTTTTTTTTTTCCCATCGGTTCATCTTTGTTTCTGAGTCAAATACTTAAATAATCATAATATATTCTCTTTTTAAATTATGCAATATGTATCTCAGCTACTAACTGTAAGCCTGATTCAAGACAAAATAGTCTCCCAAAATTGTAACCTGAATCCACTACTGGCAACAACTTAATTGGTATTGAACAGAAAATTATTTTTAATAATACCCAAGATCCTTCATGGGTTGTAGTGGTACAGGTTTTTTATAATTTTATTTTTTTAATTGATGTATTACTTCTTTCTTAATAACAATAATACAAAATTGGGACTACAGAGCATTAGAATAAAAAAATAATCTTATTGTGAGTTCTCAATACCTTTTTCCTATAATCATCTGTTTGCATAGCTTGATCAGCTATTTGACTCCTTAATTCATCAAGTTCTTCATTGATCTCTTTATACCTCTGTTTTGCTAAAACTAACTGTTGTTCCAGTTCCATCAGTTGATCTTTATTGCTAGTAATCTACAAAAAATAATCATTATTTCAAAAAAATAACAAATAAATCTGCTTAATCTCTCTTTGAGTTTCTTGTGATATCCACAATTAAAACACGGAATGAACAAATATTGAGAGTTTAAGTATTCAGGTTAAGTAGATAAGCTCTAGGTACAACTAATTTAATTTTTTTCAAGATTAAATTGAATGCTCTTTTGTTAATTTTATTTGGAATTTTATTTTTCATGAAGAGTATTGAATTAATAACTAATTATCCATTGCAATTTAAAAAAACAGAAAATTTCAGCCATTTTTGGTATTGAATATGATATTTTATATGAACAAAATTCAAAGCTAAATGCAATGCCATGCCATAACGTTTCTCTAAAATACCTCATTTCAGTTGTACAAACATTAAATTTTATTTCTGTATTTTATCTTAATGCTTGGTAATAAATGAGCAATTTTTTTATGTTTTTATTTTTAATGTATATATATATTTAGGTGATTTGACAAAGGACCAAGCAACATACAATTGGAGGTGAGAAAAACACAAATTTTCCATGTTAAAGCAATTGACATTTAAAGATTGTCCTAGTGTTTTGTAGATGGAAATTCACTTTCATTCAGAGATGGGCATATTTATATTCAAAAATATAAATACGAATACCATTTGTATTTATGGTACAAATGAATATAAATACGAATATATTCGTATTCATAAAAAGTAATTTGAATACAGAAGATACGTATTCACGACTGTAAATATAAATACGGCCGTATTCACGACTGTAAAAGTGAATACGGCATTTACACCTGTAAAAGTGAATACGGCAGTATTCAGGTTTACTAAAATGGAATACGGTTAAATTTACAGTTAAAATTTGTGGATGGAAATATTTTCGTACAACCTTATTAATGAATACACTTATTTATTAAAAAAAATTTATTTATCAAAAAAATATATTTAATATATATATATATATATATATATATATATATATATATATATATATATATATATATATATATATATATATATATATCATTTTATTTTTATATATAATATTATATTCTTCCTTTTACAATATGTTATGTTAATTATGTTACAATGTATTATATTATATTAATTATCTTTTGTAATGTTTGTATATAAAATAAATTCTTGAGCCTTTGTATGTATACTAGTAAAAGTGAATACGACAGTATTCATGTTTATTAAAATGAATACGCTTAAATTTACAGAAGTGAATGCAAATATTTTCACACGGCAGGTCCGGAAAGGTCACTATTCAAATTTGACAGTTCTTGCCCCTTTCCTTGCTTCAATTCTGTCGTGTACACGTATTTCCTGATGGGATTTCCAGGGTATCGTTCCGAGTGTTGTAACTACCCTGGCCGTCTATTAAACTTATCTTTATTACCATTAGCAGCCCATAAGTAAACAGTGCACCGAAAAGTCTGTAAGTCTAGGATTATAAACGTAGGCTTTCCATTCTGGTAAGGGAGAGACCCCACCCTCTGGACCCAATAAAAAAAAATGCTTGTGAATTTATATTACGTACAAACATTCCGAGTGATAACTAACATAATATATTGTAAAACGAAGAATATAATACTATAAATAAAAATAAAATGGAAAATATAGTAAATATATTTTTTTAATATAAATAATTTAATAAATATATTTTTTTGATAAATGAGATTTTGTAAAAAAAAATATCATCATTCACTTCTATAAATTTAAGCGTATTCATTTTCATAAACGTGAATACTGCCGTATTCACTTTTGCTATAAATACAAAGGCTCGGCAATTTATATTACGTACAAACATTAAGAATGATAATTAACATAAGATATTGTATAAGGTAGAATATAATACTATATATACAAATAAAATGATATATATAGTAAATACATTTTTAAAATAAATACATTTTTTTAAAATAAATAAGAGTATTCATTAATAAAGTTGTGTGGAAATATTTCCATTCACCTCTGTAAATTCAAGGCTATTCATTTTAGTAAACGTGAATATTGCCGTATTCACTTTTACAGGTGTAAATACAGCCGTATTCACTTTTACAATCGTGAATACGGCCATATTTATATTTACAGTCGTAAATATGTGATAATTAACATAACATAATACATTGCAACATAATTAACAAAACATATTATAAAAGGAATATAATACTATATATACAAATAAAATTATATATATAGTAAATATATTTTTAAAATAAATAATTTAAAATAAATACATTTTTTTTTAATAAATAAGAATATTCATTAATAAAGTTGTGTGGAAATATTTCCATTCACCTCTGTAAATTCAAGGCTATTCATTTTAGTAAACGTGAATACTGCCGTATTCACTTTTACAGGTGTAAATACAGCCCTATTCACTTTTACAATCGTGAATACGGCCATATTTATATTTACAGTCGTGAATATGTGGTAATTAACATAACATAATACATTGCAACATAATTAACAAAACATATAGTAAAAGGGAGAATAATAGTACTATTTATAAAAATAAATAATATATATAGCAAATCATTTTTTTTTTTATAAATAATTTAATAAATACATTTTTTTTTTTAATAAATAAGAGTATTCATTAATAAGATTTTGTGAAAATATTTCCATTCACTTCTGTAAATTTAACCGTATTCATTTTAGTAAACCTGAAGGGATGACTTTTACAGGTGTAAATACAGCCGTATTCACTTTTACAGTCGTGAATACGGCCGTATTTATATTTACAGTCGTGAATACGTATCTTCTGTATTCATATTCCTTTTATGAATACGAGTATATTCGTATTTATATTGATTTGTACCATAAATATAAATGGTATTCGTATTTATATTTTTGAATATAAATATGCCCATCGCTGCTTTCATTCAAACTGCACATCATTTGAAATCATTATAATTAAAAAAAAAAATCAATTCAACAATGTACATGATTGTCTTTGCATTTTCTGTTTATAATTGTTGCAACAATGAAATTGACTTTCAGCTCCTTGATGGCCAGTCTCAGCGATACATTGCATAATTTTAGCAGGATTAAAATCAAGATTCTACTTTGAGCTTTACAATATAATATGATTTCGACGAGTTCAGATACTCAATTGAATAACTGACAGCTTGATTTTGATCCATGAGAAAGTCAATTAATATTGATCAACGATAACTGCCTTTCCTAACTTATGTGAAGGTTGCATGAAAATCTAAGTACAATTAGTTGAGGGGTTTGGGGATTTATAGTAGACAAACGTACATACGTGCATTTTTATAGTTATTGTCCTATCTCATTATAATTACCAAAACTTATAAAATTAATATCAGTTGTAAATTTGTTATTTTAGAACATTGTTATAGTTAATAATTATAAAACAAGGTTAACTCCGAATTCAGATAATCCTTCCAAAATGAAAATCTCTCTCTTTCTTCATCTGCTGCTTTAATTTCCCAATATATATTTAAGGGATCGATATGCCTGAGGGGGTTGGCCTGCTTACAAATCCAAGGTTGTTGTGGGTTTGATTCGCAGTTTTGGAGATTTCTCAAGGAGGAGCAATATTTGGTTTATCCTACTGGTTATGCAAGACCTGTCAGACTACTGAAGGCAACTCGCACCATTCGGGCAAAGGACTGATGACCTTATCCCATCTATCTGAATCAATAACTGCCTAGTGTTTCCCCAGTTTAATGTTAAATAACCAATCCTAGTTTTTGTCTATTTCTTTGTGGAAAGAAGAAATATAAGTCCTCATGTATCTGCTGATCCTACACATACATAATCTATGGAGACCTATTAGTCACTGGCCTTGAATCAAAATAAGAACCTAGTTCAGTGGGAAGTACTCTGCCAAATTGGTCCCAAAGGAACCAGCTATGGAGCTGTGGGTATTTTGATAGAGCTTGCTATATATTGAACATAGCCAATAAGGTTTTAAAAATCATAATTGCTAACATATGTCCGGCTGACGGTGGGAAAGTGGTTACTTAGAGAGTGATCCGGTTACCTGAGACCCCCTAGCAACCTTTTAGCAGAGGCAATAAAACATCAAAGGACCGACACCAGTCTTACGTGGGAATGTTTAAAGAGGATTGAAAAGCTTGTCTGAGCAAGGGAAGAAAAAAGCACCTTCGAGAAAGAGGAAACAGTTGTGTACCTGCTGGAAACGGCCTGGGGATGTGGTCATCCCTTATGCTACAAAAATTCAACCAATGGGAACCATTCTTGTCCCACCCTGAATATTTCGATAAAATCTACTGGGATGCATAGAGGAGGGGTCTGATATCGCTGCCTGGCTTGGAGGAGAGTGCTTATGAGGCTGCCCAGCTTGAAGATAGGTAGGTCTGCTGTTTCTTCCGGCTTGGGGACTGAAGCCTTGGCTCTACATGAACCATGACCAGATGATCTCAACTTCGCAGATGCAGCGATGACATCTACAAACTACACCACATCACATACCATAATAGCTAAGTTGTAATTCCTAATCATAATGTTATAAAATATTTCGTGGCAATAGAATTCTCAAAACAGTCCATCTGAAACCAAACCTGCACAGTCATTATTTAATCATGTTTTTCATTTAGTTTATTGTATATATTGTTTGCACATTAAGATTTCTGAAATAATTTGTATATATTCTTTATTTAAGTATAGAAATAAAATCAGTTTGTAAATAAAAGTTATTAATCATGCCATCTATATATATCATTATATCACAGGTAATGTTTGGTAATTAGAAAATACGATAAACACACACCAGTCTTTGTGAAAAGTAATCCAATTAATTAATCATGGACCAAATAGGTTAAAGAACCAATTTTATTTTACTAATTTCTTATTAATTAAATTTTATTAAATAATTCTGGATAATAATCCACAATAATTATCCAGTGGCATCCCGATAAGATTCAACCTCCAAAGGGGAACATATCAAGCTACAAGTATTCTGTATTACACTAGGATTCAGGATTTAATTTTGGAGGGGGGCTTCAGCCCGAAAGATTTTTTTTCAGATACATATAACGATAATTAATTAGAAAAAAAAAGAAAGAGATTAACTATCTATATGAAATGGTGTTTAAGTGGTTCTTGAAGTCCTATTAAATGTAATTCCACGAACAAGAATACTTAAAGAGATAGTTTTTAATATTTTTTTCTGTAAAATATGGTTATATTTTACCATTTTGGAGGGGGGGAGAGGGGGGCTTCAGCCCGAACTTAAGCATGAATGATAGCCATAAAAAAACTGTTGATTGATGAGATACAGTACATCCTCTGTATTGAACCCATGAACCTTAATGGGATGTTATAGTACAACTTAATGTAAACATTAAAATAAGAATGGAAGTGTATAAAAGAGTTTCCATTTTTTTACTGCTAAATTTAATACAACCTTGGATTTCTCATCCTCAACAGCTTTTAATCTTGTAATTAATTCATCTACTCTTGCTTCAGCTTCTTCACTTTTCTCTATCGAAGCTAATGATTCTCTCCTGGCAGATTCCAGCTCAACTCGTAACATAGATATCTCTTCTACCTGAACAAAAAATTTTAGTTTTTAGCCTACTTAAAAGTTGACATAAAAAGGCTAATGAAGGTATATGATAGGTACAGTTCAACCAGAATTGGTGAATAAAAGGAAATTAATGTATTTTTTAAATACATTTCTACAAATGTATTATTATTTTACTTAATCAGTAAAACATAATTAGATTATGTCGTGATTTTTAAAAGTTTAATCACCAAGAGATCACAAGGACTGAATTTAACCATTTCTCATTAATTAAACTTACTAAAAAAAGTAAATTAAAATCAGTAAAGTGTTTCATTTCAAGGGAAGAATGAGAATCTAGTTCTGCAAATAGATTTTTAAACACTTCTTTTTAAAAAAGAAAAAGAATTTTTGAAAATGACTCTTGGAGCCAAAATGTTAAATCATAATAATGTTTTAAATGTATAGTAAAAGATTGTGTGATTAAACAGAGTTCTGATAAATAAATAATCATATATAGATTAAATATAATAATGATTAAAAAATCTCACAAAAAATATAAATAACCAAAATAGGGCTGTTTATCATAAAACTAATATATTATTTATAATTATAATATATATAAATTTATAATAGTGGGTTAATGGTTGACTGCCGTGAACAATAAGATAAGTATGGTTGGGGTGAGCAGTCAGAAATAAGAAGGCAAAAATAAATAATAATATTTATTTTAACATTTGCTGATGTTTCGATCTGAAGTTCAGGCCTTCATCAGGGCTAAGAAAAGAACCAGATAACAAGGTATGAGAAACATAAATAATGTAGGTAAAAAATTAAAGTAAAATGAAGTGGGTAGAATAATGAAACTAGTAAGAACTAAGAGATAAATAATAATAACCGTTACAAAGTGTGGAATGATGAAGCAAACATAATCAAAAAGGTGACATAAGTATTAAAATGATAATCTTAGAATATAGAGGTTGGTTTTTTCTTTATTATTTCAGTCTTCTCTTTTTTTCCTCCTTCCTTTCATCCCTTTTCTCTGCTCTAACTCTTTATTCTATTATACGTTGTCACACGGGCTGAGGCACCCTCCAAAATGGTAAAATATAACCATGTTTTATCGGAAAAAATACTAAAAAATTATCTCTTAAAGTATAATTATTCATGTAATTACATTTAAAAGGGCTTTAGGAATCACTTAAACACCAGTTCGTATAGGTACTTAGTTTCTTTCGTATTTTCCAAAGTAATTATCGTTACTTTTATGAAAAAAAAAAGCTTTCGGGCTGAAGCCCCCCCCAAAATTAAATCCTGGATCAGCTAGTGCGTTGTCAGTACATTTTGATAGACTTTACAATATCTCAATTTTCTATCTAACTATTCTATTTGCAATATCTTAATTTGACTATTTATTTTCATTTCTTATATAACTTCATATTACTTTTTTCTGTTTTACATTTTATTCTAAGATTACCATTTCAATACTTATGTCACCTTTTTGATTATGTTTACTTCATCATTGAACACTTTGTAACGGTTATTATTATTTATCTCTTAGTTCTTACAAGTGTCATTCTACCGATTTCATTTTACTTTAATTTTTTACCTACATTATTTATGTTGCTCATACCTTGCTTTTCTTAGCCCTGATGAAGATCTGCACTTCGGTTTGAAACATCGGCAAATGTTAAAATAAATATTATTATTTATTTTTGCCTTCTTATTTCTGACTGATCACACCAACCATCCTTCTCTTTATATAAATTTATATATATTAAATAGATTCCTACAAATGTATCATTACTTTAATTAATCAATAAAACATAATTAGGTTATGTTATTATTTTTAAAAGTTTAATCACCAAAGTATCACAAGGACTTAATTTAACCATTTCTTATAAGCCTAAAAAATTAATTTAAAATCAGTAAACTGTTTTATATTTCAAGGGAAGAATAACAAAAAGCATTCCATCAGAAGCAATGTGATAGTTCTACAAATAAGTTTTTAAACATACTACACTATGTGTTTTATTTTATATCCAACAATGAAAGTGATAATCCAAACCAGCCATTCAAAAGAGATAAAAAAATAAAATAAATAATAAAAATATGGGCTTATTTAATTCCTGAAGTGTAAGTTCAATAAGGTTAAAGTTTTGTTACTATGACCCTACAGAATAATCAAAGACTGAAAAAAAGTAATTATGAAACCCTCACCAACCAACATGATTACTTTACACAAGTAACATTAGTCATTCAATATATTCTAATGCTTCTTTCATTAAACCGATCTAGTAAATCTAAAATAGTGATCTTTGATGAATTTTAATGAGAATCTCTTTTACTGTTGTGCCAATAATATTCTGGAATTAAAAAAAAAAAGAATTATTCTGAGACTAGGGTCTTTAAAAATAACAAAACTGTACAAATAAACAGAAAAAATAACTAGCCAAAAAATATGTTAGTGATAAAATTCAAGAAGTGATCTTTGATGAATTTTAATGAGAATCTCTTTTACTGTTGCGCCAATAATATTCTGGAATAAAAAAAAAAAATATTCTGAGACTAGGCTCTTTAAAAACAACAAAACTGTAAAATAAACAGAAAAAATAACTAGCCAAAAAACATGTTAATGATAAAATTCAAGAAGTATATACATTATAAAGAAAAATAATAATCTTGAGAAGAAATATAATTGTAGCTAACGTAATAAAAAAAATTGAAAAAGAAATAAATTGATATAATTCCCAAAGTTAAAACTTAAACATTAAAACTATTATTTAATTCTTAAAACAAATTAAAATTTCATGATTGGAGAGTAACTTATGGATGTGAAAAAAATATATAGCATTTGCCAAAATTCAAGAAGACCTAGATCAAATCAGTGCCTGGGCAAGCCTAAACAAATTAAAGTTAAATGTTGCAAAAATTCAGGCCATTGTCATTGGTTCCAAGCTCCTTCTCCGATCCAATTAAAACTTTCCCCCACTACACCTAAATGAACAACCCATTTCATTATACTCCTCTTAAAAACTTAGGCTTTTTCATTGATCAAACCCTATCCTGGAATTACCACATTTCCCACAGCGCTCAACTATCAATTTTCACTCTCAAATTATTTCATTGCTTCCTCCAACTCCTACTTAAACCTCACACAGACTCTTAGTTTCTTCCCTCATCTTCCACCACTTTGACTATGGCTGTGTAGTGCAATATTTCCTAGGATCATTTCTTTATCAGATTATCAACAGCCAACGCCCCTCCAATAGTTATGGTCTTCTTCAATTCAAGTCCTCTGTCTACATTCTTATCACAAGATTCTGACCTTTATACCCCTTCTTTTCACAAATCTATCTCTTTCCAAAACTCGTTCGTTCTGCTAATCTCTGAAATTTCCTCCCTTTAAAAATCCGGCATGCTCTCTCCTTACCCACCTTTAAAACCCTCCTATTCCAATTCCTATTTAAAAACTAGTCAGAAAATGGCTAAACACATGTTAAGTTTCAGTGTATTTGTTAAAAAATTAATGTTATATATATTGAGAACTTGTGTATATACTTATGAACTTGTACACAAATTTTCATACCATATATTCGTTTCTGTTCTACAAGATTACTGTGCTCTTAAAGTTGCTTAATTTATTCATTTTCTTACTATTTTAGCTATAAATGTCTAAATTTTTACTATGCTAGAATACATAAATATTTATATTTTACTTTACGTTAGTAAGTAAAATATAAAAACTATTACTACGTAAAAACTATTTTTACTTGGTGCTCATCTATCTAATAGAGGAATATGTTGATTTTGTTTTTACCTTTTTTAGTTTTATTTTTATTATTGTTTTTCACGGAACGGCCATCCTCCCAAGCTTTTGTATCTTCGGATTTTTTGGAATATTTCCTTGTTAAGTCTTTCTGAGGCCATTCTTACCATATGTCTGTGGAATTTCAGTCTCCTGATCCTTATTTTCGTTTCTAAATCTCTTGTGTCCTTGTATATTTCCTGATTGGATTTTAGCCTGTATCCTTTTTTTGTCTTTTTGGGGCCGTAAATCCTTCTTAGAATTCTTCGCTCTATTCTCAACAATTTTTCCAGACTGGGGAGGCATGTGGTTTCCGTCCCGTATAGTATCATAGGTTTAACAACTGTATAGTAGTGTCGTATTTTTGCTTCCGTGGACAGGTTTCTCTTGATGTATATGTTACTGTTTGCAAAAGTTAGTTTTTACAATTTGGCTATTCTTTCCTTGATACTTTCTTTTTCCGAACCATTATTACATATAGTCTCACCCAGGTACTTAAATTTATTTGTTACATTTATTGACCCGTATTTGGTTTCCACTGTTTTCTTCTTGAAGTCTGCATCTGTGGTCATTAATTTTGTTTTTTCGTAGGAGATTTGGAGACCCGCTTTTTTGGCTATTTCCGTCAGTGTATTTATTTGGTCAATTGCCTCTTCTTCCGTTTCCGCTAAAAGTGCATCTGCGTAAGCAAGACACCTTACCTTGACGTGGTTGTTTTTGGCCCCTATACTTGCACCCACATCATTGATTTTCCACAATTCCTTCATTATCCTATCTAGTACCACGTTGAACAGTGTTGGGGAGAGACCTTGTCTGAGTCCCGTCCTTATCTGGAAAGATTTGCTGGTGGTTCCTCTGAATCTTACCTTGGATTCGGTGTCAGTTAGTGTTAATTCTATTAGTTTCCTGGTCTTCTGGTCCACTCCGTATTCTCTCAGTATTTCCAGTAGTGTCTTTCTATCCACTGAGTCGTACGCTTTTTTAAAATCAACAAATGAGATGTAGAGGTTCTTTTTGGGCCTTGTTTTGTAGTATTTTATCAATAATTTTAGGCTCAGGATTTGTTCTTGACATGATCTTCCCTTTCTGAGGCCTCCCTGATATTCTCCGATTTTAGGGTCTATTTGTGGGTTTAGTCTGTTGAGTAGTGCTTTGGAAAAAATTTTGTAGCTGACGGGTAGTAGGGAAATTCCTCTGTAGTTGTCAGCTTCTGTTTTTGTTCCTTTCTTATGCAGTGGATGTATCTAGGCGGTTTTCCATTCTCTGGGGATTTTCTCCTCTATCCAGATGTCCATCATCAATTCTGTGATCTTCTTCCTGAATTCATCACCTGTTACTTTCCACATTTCCGCCAATACTCCATCCTCTCCAGATACTTTATTGTTTTTAAGTCCCGCGATTATTTCTTCTATTTCTTCCTCGTCGGGTGGGTCCGATTCCATCTCCAGGAGGATGTTGTCATGTGGAGTCATTCTCTGTTTGGGCTCCTCGCAGTTCAGCAGATGTTCGAAATAATCCGCCAGTATGTTGCAATTTTCCTCATTTGTTTGTGCCAGTGTTCCGTCTTTTCTTTTTAGCACTATTCCTGGGGAGATGTAGCCTTTTTTATTTTATTTTATTATTTTTTCTTTATTTTTTTTAGCTAAGCAGTGATTATTTTGGGTACTACTTCACTAGCAGGCCTGGTCGAAACCTCACTTCTTATCTATCTTATCTAACATCAATTCACATAACCTCCCTCTTCTTATACCACCAAACCTTTCAGTTATTACATTGTTTATTTTTCAGTTATTCCCTTATTACGTTCACTTATTAAATTCTTTATTTTTGGCCCGTTATGTTTATTTTCCATTTTTTTTTTAGTTTATTTTCGTCAATGTTTTTTAAGTGTTTTTTTTTTAATATTTCATAAATATATGTGTCATAAAATAAAAGTATTGTTTTTTTTATTAAATTTGTTTTTGTTTCTGTTTACACTTTCAATAATACGAATATAATACAATAATACAGAAAAAAAGGATGACACTGAGGAACAAAGCCACACAGTTGTGAGGCAGTGTTGAGCAGGTGTGGTGTGTGAAGCTGAGCGTAGCTGATTCAGCTCCCAAATCCAAACCCTGGTCAGCCAAAGCTGAGCTAAGCGCAGCTCCACATCCTGTCATTAAAAACCTTTGGTTCGGTTTTGGAAGCTGACTCACCTACGCTCAGCTGCGCTTTTGGTGGCCGATAAGCCTTAATAATTACATTATTGTTAAGAAAAACAACAATTATTCTGTTGAATAAACAAGATGAAAACAAAATTAAATTATTATTAATTTGAAATCAATCAGTTATATTTTAAAACATGGAATATGAATGTTATGTATGTCATTGAACTTGTACTTATTCAATACCTTCAGTTGGAAATCCTGCTGTAGTTTACTGTACTGTTCTTTTAAGTCTCTTAAGGGTGTCGCCATGCTAGGGAGACCATCAGTTCTCAAAGTTTTCGGCAATACTTGGGTGCCTCTTGTTTCAACGTTTGTAGGAGAAGAACTTATTCCTGCCTTAAAATAAACATTAAATTAAGTAAATAATAAATATTACAAATAAAGGGGTTATAATAAGAATTTGTGAGTACTTGTTATAGTTGAAAATTATAACCTTTAAGAGAGAGAGAAATACTTTATTTAAATGTAAGAATGTAATATATAATTGTAAGAATAGTCAGTAATTACTTAGTTAGAAATTTGATAGGATAATATAAGTACATGAAATTTAATGCCTGAAATGTTGGTATGAATAGACATCCATACCACTGTTTTACGATACTAATGTATCCATCAAATCAAATTGAAAAATAATGTTTTAAAATATGGTTAATACCTAATCTCCATTCTGTTGGAATTATTTAGGTCAATTTCCTGTTTCATAAACTAAACTACTAATGATTTATTATAAATTTTAAAGTTAGAATTGCAAGTTATTCTGAAAGCTCTTGTACATAATGAAATATAAAAATAACATTGTTTTATCTAGTTGTATCATCATATGAAACATCAGTATTTGGAGCAACATTAAATTACAACAGAGCAAACTAACAATTTATTAATTAATGCATAAGTTGAAAATTATTTATTAAAGAAGATACAGTTTTTTGACATGATAACCATATCCGTTTTGACGTAAATCATATCCATATCTAAGAATTAAAAATTAAGTTACTCAGAAACCAAGTAATTCAGTGTCTGATAAGCTCTTTTCAAGAGCTATTTATCAAAAAGTATTGAGTTTGGTGATGTAATACAAAATACTTTCCAGAAATTGATTTCATTTAAGCCTCCAAGCTTTCTGAAGATGATAAAATAGAGAAATTAAAAATCTTGTTAGAATAATCCAAAGACAATGAGTCAAACCATTCTCTGCATGTGAAAATAAGAATTGACACTCTTTTTCAGATTTTGCATGATTCACATTCAGTTTTACCTAATATTTAAAAAATATTAATTTATTCTATGTCATGATTTCAGCTTTCTATTACTCTAATTCTTGTCTTCGTCTCAATAATTATCTAGTTTATGGAATAAGAACATATAATTATTAAATGAACTGTAGTGTTATGAATGATTCTATGAATAAGATCTGATTATTTATTTTAAATAAACTTTTAGATTTTAGTTATTGCTTATTTATTATAGGGAAATTGCATGCTGGAGAATAAAAGCCTATAAATGGGTTAGGATAAGCCCTTAAACTTACCCAATTTCAGTTTATGCCGTACTTTTGGATGACTAATTTTATAAAATGAGGAATAAGTGTATGCCTTAATTGACGAAACACATCATAACCAACCTAGTGCATTTCAATTATAATTAGCAGTAGAAAAAACATTAATTTAATTTTCTTTGATTACTTGATACAAAATATTATCTGACCATCACTTGCTAAATAAAATATTTTTTATAGGAAGTATTTTTCAGTCTTTTGTTTTTTTAAAATCATGATTTTAGATTAACTTAAATTGGCATTTTGCATTAATTTTCAATTTTTAATCATCGATGAAGATTGGGTTATAACAATGGAAGTTCTGAATTTTTCCGATGAATATTTGCAAAGATAATTAGCGGTAAAAAAAAGTAGTGGGGATAGAACTATGAGATGGGAGAGGAGACACCACTATGTTGTGGGCTGTCAGCTCCAAGCTCTCTTTTGAGCCTATAAATCTGTTTCTAGCATCAAAACTTCCAAGATATATATTTCTGTTATATATATATCTATATATATGTATGTATGTTTATGAAGTAGAGCCAAGAAATGTTAGATAGCATCATGTTTGGCAACTGTCACACAATGGTGGACACACACACACACACACACACACACACACACACACACACACTGATATTTCAAGTCTTTGGCCAAATATGAACTTTTTTTTATTATTTGAAAAGTTCAATCTCAATCTTTTATATCTCCTTATATAGTACCCAATTGATCCTCAAGATCTTCCCTTCACAAAATTGACTTACTTAATAGTATTTGCTGTAATGTAATTAGATTTTGAACAATCGAAGAAATTTCATTAGCATCAAGAAGACACCTAATATTTAGCCATTTAATGGTAAATCATACTTATATAGAATTATGTAAGTCATAGCCATAAAAAAAAAAAAAAAAATATTAGAGGTCTGCTAACTCATTTCCTTTAGTCCAGGTACATGATTCCATGCAATGTATAATAAATTTCATCTCTTACTGGCACATCGAACAGATTTAAAATCAGTCAAACAATATATATTCTATCTTATTATATATCATTTAAGAAATTGAACTATCCAACTGTATTCTTTATTATTATTATTATTATTCTTTTGCAATTCCTACATAGAATTCAATCAGTATATATTTGTTCCATCCTATTTAAATGAGATTAAAACTGATGTGCCATAAGTAACAGATTTATTGAAATTAATCAGCAAAATAAATTATGAGAAACTTGACATCTCAAAACATGAATCTGTATATTAAGTTTTGCCCAATAAACCCAGAACAACTTTTTATTGAGTAGATTATTTATTTTTTCGCGGAAGAGATATAAATTTTTTTTTAAAACGACTAATTTCATGAATAAATCTGGTTAAAAACCTTTTTCAAGTGTATTTTACACTCATAAAGAGCACTCCTGTCATGTTAAACATATTTATATAAAGCCAAAATCAAAGATTTTACTTTTTTTAACAGAAACTGACACTTTTCTCTCATTTCATGTAAGGATGAACAGGACTCTACCCAACTTTCAGATCTTGACCATGTTGTGATGCAATGGTATGGTAAGAAACTAAACTGATGTGAAGAACAAACAATTCATTGCTCAAAACCATACATTGGCAAGCACAGTTGGGATTGAACTGGACTCTACAAAGGTGGGGGACAGCAGAAGTGTGGGCCCCAATGGTTACATGATAACAATGTTGCATTAATTTATATTTCCTACACTTTCCCTTAAATCATCTTAAAAACCAATGTACACTATCGGATGGATTTATGAAAGGAAAACCAATAACACCAGTCTCATCATCTTAATACAATTAACATGTTTTTTCTTTTTAGCTTGATCTTCCTGTTTTATTTTTTATCTTTTCCTTCTTTATCCTTTTTCTGTTTAACTTTGGCTCTCTTCCAATTTTTAAGGTTCACCATTTTTTGGAATTAAATACACAAAGTTTGGGATCACTTTAGGTTTTGGGGTCCTTTCAAGAATACCTTATTGTTTCCTGGTTGATCAATTCCTGTTTTACCTCATCATCGTTCATTTCCATCACCATCAACCATTTCCTCCTATGTTCACAAAGGATAGTAAGTGGACTTCAAATAAAATCCCCTCTATCTCTATTGCCGGTTTCTCACATTTGGATATGACTTTAGGATAGCTGCAAGTGTCTTCAATATTCTATAGAGTAATGTCATTAAGAATTTTATTTTCCAAAAATAACACATCCCTACTAATTGTAACTTTTTTATTCATAGAATCAATTAGTCTGTGACCTTTGGTATTTTAGTAATATCTGATTAAAATAATTTTTTCTGAGTGTGGGTCCCACTTCTTTCTTTCAGAAACTGCAACCAAATATTTAAATGTAACTTAGATTAAGTTTCCTGGCTTGCCATGCTTCACATAGTGTTTTATCTACTAGGGACTTGGTAGCCCTTATGTTATTTAAATAAACGGTTGTTGCGACTGCTTCAGACCAATATGACTTAGGAAAGTTGGCATCTTCAAGTAAACATCAGCTCTTTCTGCTACACTTTTTGCTTTGGGGTATACCTAACTGCCCTTTTCTCTGATACCTAATACCCTTGTCTCTGAGAAATATTTTAATTTCATGGTTAACATATTCTGTTCCATTATCAGAAGAAATATATAGCAGCATAGGTCGGTATGCACTAGTTCCAAATGTTCCTTGGCTCTGAATTTATTGCTCTTAAATGGTAACTTAAAACATACCTCACATGGATCATTGCATACTGTGAGTCCATCAACACCATGAGCCATATCTTGTAGCATAGACATGCTTTTCATGTTATCCATCCCTGTTCTCTGTTAAAATGTACTAGGCACCTGTGCCATAGGTTTTCATTTGGTGAGGCAATACAAACCTGTAGGTTACAGGATGTATCTAGTTTATAGATAACTCCTTCAATGGATGCTGTTGGCATAAGATTGTCATTTCTATTATATATTTTTCCACCACTTTCATCAAATAGAACTCTCTTTCCTTCGCTAACTATGTTACTTATAAAGAGTAGGTTGGTGGCTACATTAGTTATATGATTGCATTATTATTGGCTATATTATTACAATAATATACCTTGTCAGCTATTATAGATTCAATATCACCATTAACAGTGATATTTATAACTGCACTCCTGGATGAATCTGTGAATATGATCTCCATTCGCTGCAGAAATTTCCACTGATGATGCTGTAGGCTTCTATAAATCTTTTAAATATGTAAGATTTACTGATGCACAAAAATATATGATCCAGGAACTACTTTTGCTACTAGTGTTAGTAAAATTGGTCATTCGATTTGCTAAGAAAGCATTTTGATCTTTCTTTTTCTTCCGAGATTTTTCATTTCTATAGCAATTCCACTTGTATTACAATTTGCAGCGAAATGTCCCACGGTTGCATTGAAAACAACGAAGGTTATGTGATGGATTGTTTTGATTTGAGAGTTCTTATCGCTAAGCAGCCACTTGGGTGCGTTGATTTCTTACCAGAAAATAGTGCTGTATCGCCATGTAAAAATTTACTATTGTTTGTCTTAATCTCTTGCAATAACTTAACTTTGATTAAATCACCTGTTGTTGCGACTCCTGAGCTCTCCAAACCCATCATCATTTGTTTACTTTCTTCGGCTAATCCAGCTGGGAGTAGAGTACCAATCCACCTGTTGATAATGTCAAATTTTACTTCCCATTAGTGTTGAGCCATAGACATTATTTTGTTTATATACTCTTCCATAGAACTGCTGTCTTCTAGCTTGATTAAGATTGATAATAATCTTACTTTTCTTGTGAGCTTATTATCTTCAATGGCTGTATGGTGTCCCATGCTTGTTTGACGTTAGAACACTTTTCAATATGGTGGATGAGGAGGTCTTTCTCAACTAAGAATGAAATTTTTGACAAAGCCTTTCTATCTATGTCTGCAGCTTCTTCTGTATCTAATTTTTCTATCCACGACATCCCACTGATCCTTCATATGGAAATACCCGATAGAAGAATCTTTCAATCTCTCTTCCTTTCAACATTTCCACTAACGATAAGCTGAACGCCATATTTGAACCAGTAAACAAATACTGTAATTATTAGTATTATAAACAGAATATTCACAATTCTTACTAATCTGCACTATTCTGGGCCTTTGACCAAATTTTGGGATGGAGTGTTATGGTAAGAAACTAAACCGATATGGAGAATAACACTTTATTGCTCGGAACCATACATTGGCATGGGTAGTTTGGATTGAATTGGGCTCTGCAAAGGTGGGGGACAACAGCAGTGGTGGAGCCAATGGTGATACGAAACACTGCTTCAATAATCATATTTCTAACAGATCATACTTCTTTTTCCTGTTCTTTTTCTCCCCCATCATAATTTATATTTGGTATTTAATTATTTTATTTGTGCTCCCAATTTTCTATTGTTCCCCTCTTTTGAGATCTGACAAGTCTAATTATAATTTAATGAATTTTATTTTACCTTTTTTCAATGTAGTATATACATGCTACATTGATTAGTGAAACATAATTATCTTTTGTTTATTCTAAACATCGTTCAAAGAAGTGTTGGGAATTTACTGGGAGAGGTATATTTGCAATTATAATTATTTCTGGTTCTTTGAAAATATAATTCCTCTTTGTCAAAATATACATTTTTTTTTTCTTTTTCTCGATACATATGAAAAATTAATAATAAAAAAGAATTTCTTAAATAAAAAAGATGTTTTTCAGCTGATGTGCCCAGGTTTCCTAGTTTGGTACAAATGCATTGGTGATAAGACACCTTACAAAAATCAGTCTAACCCACTCATTCAAGAAATAATTATGGAAACATACAGACCAATAGGCAAAACATTGTTTTGATTCAGGAGACTTTGAAATGTAAAGTATGTTGAGAACTGGATACCATAAATTTGACATCTTGTGGCGGTAGGTAAAGAAAAAAATGTTTGAAATTTATAGTTTTTGTATTATAATGAATACATTACTTACCTCATTTATTATATATATATATATATATATATATAATATATATATATATATATATATATATATATATAAAACAAAGTAATTGTATTAGTAAGCTTATCATTTTATATATATAATGATAAGCTTACTAATATAATTACTTTGTTTTCAGTAAACTTATACAGCTTCAGAGTGATTCAATTCAGCTTAAGTAAATTGTTACAAAAATGTTGGTTCATTTATGGGTACTTGTGACCGACGTCGCCTCTGCGAAACCTCCCTTCTTACCTTATGTTACATCACCTTCTTATCTTATGTCATGTTACGTCACGTAATCTGCCTTTTTATATAGTGTGAGCTGTTGTATGTGTGTTTATTCATTGTGCGTTATTTAAATGGATGTAATTACATTGTAGGAATTGCCATCTTCAGAAGAAGAAGCTATCAAATATTTTCAAGATGCAAGGATAATTGCGAAGGAGAAATATTGTGATGAAGGTCATGAAATGAAGTTCGTCGTGAAGACGTACTGGAGATGCTTTTGTAAGAGTTGTAAGAAAAAGGTATCAGAAAGGGAAGTGGTTAGAGGGATCGAAGGTTACCTTTTAAACCGCTTTAAAATTTATTTATGGATACTCTCATAATTTGACAACAATAAAGTGGGGCGAAGAGCAACTGAAACTATCGAACAAATGTATCATAATGTGGAACAAATTTTTAAGAGAGCTTTGTGCCCATAACATGTTATACACATCAACAAAAAAATTGGAGGGCCTGGGAAACTGGTTGAAGTAGAAGAGAGTCTTTTTTTCTAAACAAAAAAATCATGTAGGGAGAGTTCTCCCTGAACAATGGATGTTTGACGGAGTTTGTCGAGAAACAGACGAGTGTTTCATTGTAAAAATAAAGGACAGAAATGCAAGAAATTTATTAGAATGTATTATAAATAATATAGAAGAGGGAATTTATTCAGACTGTTAGAAAGGATACAACACCCAACAATAGAATGAAGCAAACTATAATCATTTCCGGGTGAATCATCGTTATAAATTCGTTGATCCATCGACTGGGGTTCATACTCAACATATAGAAAGTTTATGACGCTCAGCTAAGTGGAGAAATAAGAAACAGCGAGGAACTGCAAGGCAAACCCTCGATTTCTATTTATGTGAATTTTTGTGGTGGCACGCTCACAGAAAAGAAGACCCGTTCCTCGCTATTTTAAATAGCATTAAGCTATTTTGTCTCCCAAAATAAATAAATGAAATGATTTATGTATGTTGTAAAATAAAAGTGTTGTTGTTGTTATTTATATTTCTTATTATTAAATTACTATATTATTATTATATTGGGGATTACATGCTTGGGAAAGTGAACTGGGGTTATTTATATTTATATTTCTTAATATATATATATATATATATATTATATGAAATTAGACTCTCCTATAATAAGAAATATGTATATATATATATATATATATATTAATAAGAAACAGGCAAAAAAGAGGCAACACCAAATATATTCATATTTCTTATTATAGGAGAGTCTAATTTCATATGAAGATAGGAATTAATTATCAGTGCCTTATAACAATTATCAGTGTTCAGGATATAAACATTGGCAGATAGCAGTCCATAGAGGCAGCATAGGTCACAAGTACCCATTTATGTATATCCTTCCTCAATAATCTGTTCAATTCATTATTTGAACATTTCAATTTAATTTCTGTTACTTTTCCACCATTATATTTTTAACCAATCGTTTATAGCAAAGTATGATATTTTTTTTTATTTACAAACTGGTTCAAGAACCATGAATGTATAAAAAGAAAAATATTCCTCCCCGAATTTTAGTACTGCATAGTAACAGGACTATTATTCAAATATTAACAATTATATATAGCATTAGAGAACAATTATATATAACAATTATCATTAGAAGCTTAAGTAAGGTTAGGCAGCACTAATAGAGGCCGCAACAATTTTTTATATGTTACTGTTGCTATTTTTATTTTTCAATAAATACACATACATATCCCTACTGTCAGTGCAAAAGGTCTTAGATATAAAAATTGAATTTTTTTCCAGAAGAACATTAAAAACTGATTATTTCTTTATGATTTATTAGTATAATGTCATATTTTATTTCGCTCTACTATTTTCCTATTTAGTAGACTATTTATTGCAAATGCAGACTACAAAAAGTAATCTTTAGCACAAAGAGATTAAACATATAAAATTGCTACATACAGCCTTTTGCAGTAACAGTAGCAATATATTGAACTTAATTTTCCAATTTTTGTGATCTAAATAATTAAATATAAATTAATTCTAGCATTAAATTAATAAATATCATTCAAAAACGTTTTGAGCACGTAGTTATGTCATAGAGGTCACATGTGGCCTAAAGACCGCAGGTTCCCCACCTATGATATATACATTCACTAATAGATTATTTTATTTCCAGAAATTATTGTGGTCTATTTTTAAAACTCATTCACGCCAACCTAACAATCACCCGAGTAGGTTCAGATGTTGAGTAGGTTAGATTTCAAATGAGATATTCCTTACAACTATATGAAGATGAAATTTACAAGATCACTGTTAACTTTTTAAATATCAAACAATTTTTTTTTTTTTTAAGACTTAGTGAAAATATACACTAAATTTTTACTTTTCAAAGCAAATAAATACACAAAGTTCTGTTGTAATTGAATCTGTAATTTTGCTATGGTTAAATATTGTGTCAAGCGAAAATTGGTTTGCTGTTCAGGTATTTACCCCTTTGCCGGCTATAGCTGGAGCTGTACAAGTTAAAAGCTTCTTTTGCATTTCTAATTGGCGCCTTTCCTCCTGTACAGAATTTAATTCAGCCTGTAGCACCTTCACTTCTTCCTCCATAGAGGTCACCATAGTTTCCTGAAAAATAAAAGGCATAATAAATTTGCAATAATACAAGGTAAAGTTAAATGTTTAGTAGAATTTAATTTAATAATACTGATAAATTCCTATAAAGAAGTCGAGAATGCTAAGAGTAATGAAGCCCTTGATTCATCAATGTTAAGGACTTTGTTTATATCTTCGTGAAAGGAATCTTGATTCTTGTTCTTTCTGTCTGTTTGTATTTATATTATTTAGGAATAAAATATGGTTACGCTAATTTATCAAGAAAGAACAAGATGAATTTTATAAATTAGGGTTCGGTTTGGACAGAAAAAATGGTGTATGATCCAGGGGAAGGGGAGAGAGTTATAAACATTACTCTATAAAAAATTACCTTTTTGTTTACAAAAATTATTTTATTTGAATGAAATGGTTCAAAAAGCTTTTGATGAATTATTTTTAAAAGAATAATTTAGAACAATTTCATTACTTTCCTTGAAAAAAAAATATTTCACAAATATACTTATTTTTTACACCATTTTTATTCAATATTCTGGCTCATTTCCGAAAAAAGAAAAATGGCACCATCGGATTTATTGGTTGTTACCATGCTTTAACATTGATTTCCAAAAAAATTAATTAGGATTCACCACAGGCTGATCTACGGGGGAGGAGGAGAGGGAGGGCTTTCGGGCTGAAGCCCCTCCTCCCTCCAAAATGGTAAAATATAACCATGTTTTTTGAAAAAAATGCTCTCTAAAAGTATTATTGTTCATCTAATTACATTTAATAGGACTTAAAGAATCATTTAAACACCATTTCATGTAGGTAGTTAGTTTCTTTCTTTCTTCTGAAGTAATTATTCTGATATATACATACAAAAACAATCTTTCAGGCTAAAGCCCTCCCCCCAAAAATTAAACCCTGGATCCCTTAGTGGGGTTCACTTTGGAAATAAGTGACTCGAATGTGCTAATTTAATTACTTAACACCACATTTCTCTAGATATTTTCTGTAACAAGTACATTCTTGGAAGATATGACTTACTGCAAGAGAATTATTATGAAAATATAAAGGCAATCATTAGTTATATGATTATGTATAAAATAACTAATGTTGTACTCTCTATCTTGAAGCTTTGATAAATGTGATATGAAATATAAATATGATAAATTTAGAAAAATATTTAAATTTCATATGTTAACAGCAACTTAAAATTGATGAACGTAGAAATTAGTTTGCAAGATTCATTGATTGTTTTATTTTTTTTCTCTTTAAAAATTGAATCAATTATTAAGAAAAACATGTTACCATGATCCGTTTTTATTTTACTAAAAACTTTTGTATTTGTTTTTTGTTTTTAAATTGATTAGAAAGTAATACAAAATTATTTAATTTTATAAATCAATGTTATTTATGTTTTTCTTGTGTTTGTGTTAAAGTTAATTGGAAAAAACAAGTGGGGGTGGCCAAATCATCTTGCACAAAAACCCGTTTTCAAGAAATGGTACATCTTTAGATATCTTAGTGCCAATTACTTTACTAACCTTCACAGGTTGTACAGTTACAGGAGCTATTTTTTTATCTACAAAAATTTAAATTATAAATTAACTACCATATCTCTGGTTGCTCCTTCCTCACCAAATGGACCTAGCTGTTTCAAAATATTACGCCTGCATACAATTTTATTAGCAAACTCCTTGCGACACTTTCCTGGACAAGGAACTTGTTGATAAGGAAGCTGCAGTTGAGGCTGTGGAAAAGCTCCTCCCTGTTAAAAAATTTAATTAACATGAAGAGAAGTTGGTTGGGATGTTCAGTTAAAATTATAAATTAAAAATAAATAAATAAGTTTATTTTTTATATTTATATTTAACATGAACACCTCAACCAACTTCTCTTCAATTTTCACTTCATTCAACCATCAATCCACTATTATCTTAATTATTATGTTAATTAATTAAGATAATAGTTTCATTAATGTTTTTTATGAAATTTTTGATTATAATCAATTTTTTACTAGTCATAATGTACAGTTATAAAAAGTTATCTTCTAATTTTCAATTTTAATGGGTACTATTTCGAAAAAAGGGATTTGGAGAAATTTTTTATTACTGTTATTTAATTCCTTGTTGTTTATATTATACAGAACTATTGAATCTTTAGGTTGCAGTTAACTTAAAACAACTTATCTCTTAATCTCTTTGTGCCATGTTGATCAGTAACGTTATTTAATTAGAGGATTTTTTTTGGTTTAAATAAAAATTAGTATTAAGTGCATATTTTCTTAATTAGGAATTAGTTCGAGTCTGAATGTATAGAAATTTATTATTATACTCCCTCAAGACATATTTTTTTGGTGCAAAAGAGTCTTAGTTTTTAGTTCTCTTACTTTCTAAGAGAATAGAAGTTTATTCTGAGAGTATAGTTCTGATGGAACTATACTGGGTCTTAATATTTAATAGCATTTATTTTTTATCTAGGTTTCTCATCTCCTAAAAGCCAACAACACAAACTGATGATTAGTGTATTTTCAGGTCATCAGATTAATTGTTTAAATGTATCATATGAATTGTATTTTTTTTTCATATAAATTAAAAACATTTCTAGAAATATTGTCAATATTCTATTTGAATTTACTGTATACTCAAGGCCAAAAAACTGGTTCCTTTATTGTAAAGCATCTACTCACTCTCATCATCTGCTTCAAAAGTGTTGTAACTTTCAAAAAATAGATAATGGTGCAAGTATAATAAGTTTTAAAATAATATTTTGACCAAGATTTGTTGGCTGCTTGCGAACCCAGGCAGCACTTAGTTGAAACTCAATCTTTTTTCCTCTAAACTTGTCATATTGCTGATAAAATATAAAGAATTTATTGAAAGATCAACTCCTAATCACCTAATTATGTATATTAGGTTGTGTAAATAAATACTTTGTTAAGTACAGTTGAAGGGTTAAGGAAAAAACAAAATCTTAGTCTCAACTTAGTGCCACATGAGTTCACCCTTGAGCTGGCAACTGTTAACAGAAGAACTATAAGTCATAGTTCCGTCCATCCAATTCCAATAACACTGGAATAAATTAATAATGCTTTTTTTTCTAAATTTTTTTTAGTCCAAAATCATCCAAAAGACATACGTAATACTTAATTCATTAGACATACTTAATACTTAATTAATTAGGTATACTTAATAATTTTAAAATGATCATAACTATAACTAGCTTATTATTTATTACCCTGTTGGTCGGTTTTATTCCTAAAGGGCTTGGTAAAGGCAAATTCAACTGCCGATATAAATCTAACTTGCAAACAGGTGTTGTTGCTAAAGTTTTTCTGCAAATGACTGGAACGTCAGCACGACACCTAAGCTGAAAATAAATTCTTAGAAGTTATTTCATATTGAATTATAAGTTTTACAATTTCAACTTAAAAAGTAGCAGTCCAAAATTTTGAAAAGACATCTCGGATAGCTGATTGGTCAGATAGGAACTCTTGAACTTTCAAGAAATTATATAATTACAATTACTGTACTACTGACTTATTTTTAATCAATTTAACTTGTATTTTTTAATATTACTGACATTCAAAAACTGACATTCAATATGATAGCACCAGATATTAAAGTGGCTTTAAAAGACAAAAAGAGTATAAAAATAGCTGGGCTAGTTCTATATTGCATAAAATAGATTAATTACAGCACAATGAAGAATTTCAAAGACATCTAAATAGAATAAAATTTAATAAACCATACAACTAAATACTACTAGGTATTTAATAGATAAAAATTAGTTTTTTCTAAAAATATTTAAAAACAGGCTATTCACTGATGTATTAGGTTGCAACACATGGTAAAGTTACATTTAAAATCCTATATTAGGCAAATAATTTTCAAAAAACTTTTGTTTCTGCTTTTTCTTGAATTTCTAAAGTTAAAGGACTTTGGACACATTTTATCAACATTTTTAGAAGTCATTTATCATTACAGTCTATAATCTTTCAAAAAAAAAAATAAATAAATAAATAAATTCATCTATTGTACCCCGAATGGAGGATGTGATGGACAGTAAGAGCCTGGGTCCCAGAGTTCTGAACGTTGAGGGTTCGACTCCCACCTAATTCATTTAATATTTATTTCTCTGTGGCCCCAGGAAATGAATCTTGACACTCCCACTTTGATAACCACCTGGTTGCAATCTCAAGGTAGCCCTTGTAGAGTTGGTAAAAAAGATCATAAGGTCTTTTTGTCGGACTAGTTCCTCCCAACAATCAACACTGGCATTGTGGATAAAAAATATTTAAAAATGAAATACTTATTATAGATAACTGTGTAACAGACACACAGACCAATGGTCGAAAATGAGTTTTTTGGACTGAGGAGCATAAAACAGATCTGTTGGAAACCAAATGGCAAAAATTCAACCCCATTACAATACCTTCCTTACTCTGGTGATAATAATGTAAGTATAAAGGAATTGTTACGAGAAATACATTCTTTCAGCAAACAAATTAAAATTAAAACACTAAACTAATACTAAACTTTTTAAAGCTGTTAAGAATATATAACGATTTAGATAATAAATATAACTCCTATATAATTTTATATAATTAATCTTAAGAACAAAATCTTTAAAAAAGAGTAAATTATTTCTTCATAATAGACGAACATGCTTTTCAGAAAGCTTGTTTTCTATTTATGGTATCCTAAACAGTTCATAGGTTTCAAATATTTAAGTCAATAAATTCACATCTTTAGATATTCACTGAACTAAAAAAACAATACATTAGCATTAGGCTTACATATTTCAGGTATTAATTTAAAAATATATATATATATATATATATATATTAGAATGACTTAGTTCTTTTTTCCACTTATAGATTCTAAGAGTTGAATACCAAGAGAGTTTCATAGCCATAACTTGAAATAATTTTCTTCCTGTAATCATAGATTGCTTAACTTCTTAAAAACTAATAAAAAAAATTTGGTTTCCTCTACACGAACTATTCAATTTTAAGAAAAAATAACAACTATTTTAAACCAATAACTTATAAAAATCAAGTTCACTTAAAATTTAATACTTTTAAAGACATTCCTTATTTTGACCACACATTAAAATTAATATATCCATTTCCATTAATTTAAAATATTAAAAAAAGCATAAATAAACCTTTTTTATCCTCGACTAAAAATTTTGATAGATATCCATAACAGGAATTTTAAAACTTAAGTTAAACACATGTAGAAAAAACATATGTTTAATTTATTATTCAAGTATGCTTTAAATATACTAAATAATCTTTGAAATATTATACCATACAGTGTAATTTTATTATAAAAAATCTGATGCGGTGCGCGAATCACACAACTTCCACTTACCACCCTCTTCTTGGCAGAAATAAGTATTTTCAGACTAAGGGAAAGTGGAAGTAAAAATTATAGATACTGTATTTATTTATATTTTATTGTGGGTATTTTTATTTGTATCAGTACCCTTATGTATACATATTTTAATATTTAAAAAGCTGTAATCTACACAATTAAATATTAAATAATACCAACAACAGCATTTATGAAAACCGCATATGTATATTTACATATTTTCAGAGTCCGTATTATATTAAGCTTATGTTACGTATAGAAGCGTGTTATAATCTTTCGGGCGAGCTAAGGTGCACTCGTATTCCTTTTGCTCCTTAATTACAACTATTCTCCGTTACGATCTCTTATTTCTAGTTTAGATAATTATCAAATTCATTTATATTTTATATTTAACTATCTTTTATATTAGAGATTAATGTGAAATGGTCAATTGCTTCAAATAAAAAAAATTAAAGGTACTTTAGGGGAAGCTAATATTGAAAATTACCCATTTAAGCCCTGTTAGAGAACATAAATCAAAATAAAAACAACATTTTATTTAAAAATGCTTAATTTTACACTGATATAATGAATTTAATCAAAATTGTTAGAGCCGTTTTCGAGAAAATTGTAAAAATGTGTTTACTCTATGATATAAAGTGCCACTTCTGGTTAGCTGATTTTGATGAAAAAGTTGCTGTAATATCCCAAGCATAGAAAAACTTTAAATATGCAATTTCACTTTCGAACCACTTTTTGTCTTTTGAGCTTGACTGTTAACACACACCATGTTATTTGGACTCAAGGGACCTCATAACGTGTATTTCCAATGAAAACTGAGATTCAAAAATTTTCACGATCTTTAATATATATTTCATATATAGGTAAGAGAAATTAAAAATAGACTAATTTTGTAATTGATATATGAAGTTTAATTTGAAATAGTCTAAAACAATATATTTTAAAAAAGTTTTCGTGAATGTATACATAGTTCAAATGGAACTGTGCATATTCATCTCACTTGACAACTAAAAATACAAATAAAGGGTAAATTGACTCCAATTTCCTCTCTTCTAACCAAAGAGAGAGAGGAGTAATGGCTCTAGCATTAGTTCTGAACTCAAGGGTGATTTCGATAAAACTTACTATCCAAATTTTTTTTCAATATAGTATGGTGTGTAACTGTGAAAAATAATCCAAAGAATATTTTTATCAGGGATAAGATTTTTGTAATTATTGTAACAGTAACTACATTTAAATAAATTATATTATATGATTATTGTAATTACTATTTTGTTCTTGTTTTAGTTAGGTGATGAAATAAAGAGTATCTTCAATATAAGGCTTTTTTTTTTTTTTTTTTTTTTTAAATGTAAGGCTTTATTCAACTTGAAGAATTTAACAGTATTGTGTATAGTGTCCTACGGTGTATGGTATCCTTGTGTCTAGTATTCTATGGTATCCACCCTTATCTCAAATCTACAATCCTTGTTAGAAATCCATTCTCCTCTGAAAACTAGAACCTTACATCATCCCACTGCACCTTGTCTGACCCTTGAAATAAAGGAAATGACAAAGGGAAGGGATGCAGCTAGGCGCAAACACCGTCGAACTCGTTTACCTGCGGATTGTACACCTTTCAAGGAACTTCACAATAGAATCCAATCCGCAATCCAACTTACTAAAGACACCTACTTCCATAATGCCCTTTTTAATACTCTTAATTCCATATCCAAATGGAAAATACTCTGTAATCTCTCCCTACCAGAATCTAATAATCTAAGTTCCTTCCCGGTTATTCCAGATGATCTCAACAACTATTTCTTATCATTCACTCATAATCTTTTTCCTACTTCGGATATTAAACATCGTAAGTTCAATCCTGAAGACTTCTTTTTCTCCCATGTATCCTATGACGAACTACTTTCTACTATCCTAAAATCCCACACTAAAGATTTAGGTTCTGAAAATATTCCAATAAAACTAATAAAATCCAGCCTTCCTGTCCTTAACCATACTTACAACTTTTCTTTGCAAAATTTCATATTCCCATCTAACTGGAAAACTGTCCTAGTCCGACCTTTGAATAAAACTTCTAACCCTCACTGCACGACTTCCGTCCTATTTCTCTCGTTTCCAACCTTTCAAAACCACTGGAACTGCTTGTCCAAAATCAACTTTCCAACTTCCTAGAGGAAGGTTCCCTTATCAACCCATTCCAATCTGGCTTACAACCTGGATACTCAACCCACTCTGGACTCCTTAAAATAACCCATGATCTCCAAAATTCCATTGAACACCAAATCTTTACTATTCTCATCCTTCTAGATTTTTCCAAAGCGTTTGACACAATTGACCATAACACCCTATTTACTAAATTGCAAAATCTTCAGAGGAAGATTGGATAGAAGAGATCCAACAGTGTTCTGCATTGGTTCAAATCCTTCCTCTCCAATCGGTCCCAGTATGAAGTCGTTCCAGGTCAATCTCCATCTGAGGCCCTTCCCCTCTCATGTGGTATCCCTCAAAGTTCCTCACTATCTCCTACTTTGTTTGCTATTTACATCAATGACCTTCCCTTCCTGATCCATCTTTCCCAATACCATATCTATGCAGACGATTCCCAAATATATCCGCCTTCTGAACTATTACCAGCCACAAAAACCTTTACCATTAAAATTTGAACAGAATCTGTGAATGGGCTAACAAGCTGAAATTGAATGCAGAGAAGACAAAGGCAATCCTAATAGGCTCTAATCACCTCCTTAAAACTATCCCAAACACTCCAATATTGTTCCTACACGATAATCCCATCAAACTTGGAATAACCTTTGATCAGAATCTTTCTAGGAAAAACCGTGTATCCAATGTTTGCTGCTGTATCTTTTCGACCTTAAAGTCTAAAACTACCTCTGCCACCTTCTTCCTTTTGAAACTCCTAGACTCCTGGTCACCTACTTAATATTTCCTCACTTTGACTATTGCTGCACAGTATATGAAGGCGCCTCA